TGTTTACAATATTTTTATTAATTATAACCTACATTATACACATGGTAACAAACCATTCCATAAAGCATTTGAAAATAATAGGTTCTAATTAATTTTTGTTTGAAATTCAGAAAAGATTTGTTTAGGATTTTCATAAGTCCCAGTACCATTAAATGTCTATTTCGGTTTATGACAGAGCTACAAAACTCAGTACTCTTTTTTATGAAAAATAACACATTTTGAGCATAGTAGTAACTTGGCAAAAAAAAATGGGATAGTTTAAGATTGGCTCTAAAATTTTATATTCAAACTGTCAATAAGTGACTCTCCTTTTTATGGTTATCCTCACAATAGGAAGAATATGAAGTTGATATCTTTACCTACTGCCGTTTTATAAACTAGCCGTTTCAGTTCAGTTCTTAGAATTGAAAAGATTCTCATAACAGCATTGTTTACTTTCATAACAGCATAGTTTTACTTAACAACACGGGTAACCAACCATAGAGGTTCTAGGATTGAGAGAAAATAAGTAAAAATGTAATGCTTTGAACTTCCAACTAATCAGCTGTTTAGACCACTTTAATTGTTGAGTGGTGCAATTAGTGTTTGGTACAATGATTCATTGCATGACTGTCAGTGGCAATGAGAGGTTATGAACGAGAAGTTATGAGTAGTGATTTTTAGTAATTAAAACACTGTCCTAGGTAAAGTAGTGTACGCAACTCACGTAAATTTAGTCTTTACGCGATCGTTGTGTAAACTACTATAAACCAATAGAAAATTACAGTGATTCAAAACTTTCATACACCTTGTTTTCTTTACTGTTATCCTTTTTGTTACAAAATGAGAGCCACTTAATGAGGGTACAATTTGAAAATTCAGAACCAATCCCGCCATTTTTGGGGGTTTATGCATGGTTGATATTGCATAGTTCAATATTACCATGAACAAACTATCTGAGTTTGGCTTTACTCTGACAAAGAGATGAAAATTTACCAGGACTTTTTGAACACCCTGTATAGGAGAAACACCTACATAAACAGTCTACAATTACTGTTAGAACATTTGTTCTCATTTACATTATTTATAAAATCAGTACTCAAACAAATACACATTTATTTGTTTACTGTTTTAAGTAATTAATTGAATTTAAAAGCTAGAGCGCTTTTATTATGTTCATCTAATGAATTATGTTTTCAATATTTGATACTCCTTTATTTTCTAATCAATTTGATCTCAAAGAATTTATTCATATTGTTACGATGGTTTACATAGGCTAATCTAAGCAGTGCTAACTAGTCTAGTAAAAAAGTAAGCACCACATACGTTATTACCTATTTAGTAAATTACTATTTCAAAGTGTTATCACTATAAATAGCAAGATATCTGAACACAACTATTAGTTAACTTCTTAAAGATTATTCCAGCTTGTTTCTTTAATTCTAATAAGTGGTATTTTTACTGATCCGTTCAAGAGCGCAATGAATATCATCTCATTAGCAAACAAATATGATACTAAGCTTAAGTGTTTGACACCTTTTGAGCCACTGGTCTAAGTTAAACTCTTAACATTTTTGATTGTCATAAAAATGTAAATATCTGATAGATTCACACTATTAATAAACACACCCCAAAACACTCTCTCAAATGGCATAAGTGATGTATTAGTTAGTGTGAAGATCACAGCCCAGAACGAATGATTACAAGGCCAGATAATAATGGTCGTTTAGTATTTCTGAGGCAAAACGTTGAAAACAAATGTACGGCAGACTCTTGATAATCCTACACTTCCAAACTAAAATATTTTATATATAAAAAATCATTTTAATATCAAAATTAAACTAGTTAACCTTAAAATTAAAATGGGAGATCCCTGAAAACATTGAGTATGTGAAAATAATACTACTAAATAACCTATAAACTATGAAAGGTGGACTTAAGAAGACTGATTATGCACTCCTTGACGACTAAGCATTTAAATCAACCATTATATCGATTCTAGCACACAGCTATATCATGTAAGCCTGAATAACAAAGGTAGAACTACATTTTAAATTCAATTAGGTCTACCTGTATGAGTTTGGATGCCGAAAAAGTGTTAAATTTACAAATAACCTAACAAAGCACATGAATGTAAAAATTCCACCCATTATCACTTTAATTCACTGGAAAATCTACAAAATCAATAAAATTAACCTATCCAATCATAATTAAATTATGCATGAAGTGAACAATAAAACAGTGAGTGATTTTTTTCTTTATTATAAAGTTGTTCAGTGCTTGCTGCAACTTTCCATTTTTGTTCATAGACAATAACAAAAGTAAAACTTTAATGTAAATTATATCCAGTGTAAAAAAATGCGGTCTACTTTCACATATAAAAAAATCTGTCTACTTTTACATATAAAAAAAAATGCTGTCTACTTTTACATATAACAAAAACTTCTTTTCATTAATGACTATTAGAGCCATTAAGCTGCGATTCAAAAACAAAAACTTAATCAAGATTCCAAGACACTTTTAAATTTGAGTATCGTACAGATATTGGTCGATTCAAGGAATGTCGGATTATCAAGAATCAACTCTCTTAAAAATTTACACTTGTACGCTTCCTTCTTAAAATTAAGTCAGAATGTAAAAAAAAAAACTGTTAACAACCTTTAAAAAAAAAAAATATAAGTTCATGAGCTCTAATTATTTGAGTTTAAGAATATATAACGTCTCCACGCAATTTAACCTACACATTATTATCAGAAATACTATATTCAAATAGGTTTGTAAATAGTATTGAGGGGCTGGAATTGGAGTTAAAGATTTAAGAAAGCTCGTTTAAGATAAGGATTACGGTTTGGCCGTTACAGTAAGGTTGACGCCGTGGTTCTGTGCGTCGTCCGACGATGTAGCCGCTGGCTTGTAGATTTTGACGTCATCTAGACGAAGGTTCGAGACAAACTTTACCTGGAAAAACAGTACAATTTTTAAAATATGAAATGTGGAAGGTGACTGAGTTTGGGAAATGCCAAGTTATCAGGAAAACGGGCATTTGAAAAAATCATATGATATTGGTTTTCTGTAAATAAAGGTCTCCAAACTCCCCTCATAGCCAATCAAGCTAGTTAAAATCTGAGACCAACAACATGCTTATACTTAATTAATCCACTATTATTCTATCCGATCCCAACCTCTGTGAGACGATAAGTCTCGTCATAATATTCCACAATGTTGTGTAAGAAAATTTACGCTCCCGACAAGTATCAATGTTTTGTAGGATGGGAACAGTTCCTGTTGATTACGGTTGCCAGTTGACGAGCGTGTATGCAGAAAAGTGTTCGACGAAGAAAAACGGCTTAGTGAGTTTGCAGTTCATTTGCACAATGCGACTGGCAGTGGACGTTTATCAGTTTATATTGAGATAGGGATGATTGAATTGAGGGGAACTTTGATTGTTTATCGGCATGTTTCTGACTTTCAGGACTGACCGCAGTTCTTGATAGTCGCAGAAACGCCACCTATAAGCTTGATAATCCCTCTCGAGTCACACCACAATTGGCATGCAAAGTTTCACTAACTTTGGTCCCTGAATCAAATGGGACTGATGAACAACTGCAGTCTACCTATACGATGAAAAACATCGTGCTAAGGGTTAAGATCAACATCGAACTCCTTCGACCAATTGGGCACATTTTCTGTGTCCAATTACTTTACTTTATTCCCTAAACTGACGATGTTCTTCAATAGCGCGGTTGACGACCAAGAATGAAGCGATTAAATCAGAGAACACAATTTATACTTGGAGGTAGCATCAATTTATACTTCATTCCGTAAACCATCAATGTACTTCAATGGCGGTTGATGACTAAGAATGAAGCGATCAAATCAGAGAACACATTTATCTTGGGTGGAGCTTCTATTTTCTTGCACGTTTCATTACGATGAGACTTAATTGTGCTAAAGAGAATTAGCTAGAATGGTAGTGGATGAAGAAAAGGATACACCTTTGGTCTCTGGTTTGATCTAGCTGGAATTCAAGTATGTACTACTCACAAACGTTATTTACAAAGTTTGAGTAGCACACGGTGTCCCTCAAGGATCTAATGTTAGACCTCTTATTCTTATCATCTGTGTTAATATCTCTATTTTATTTTATTATTTATTATTATAATTATATATTAACTAATATTTTATATCTATATTTTAACTCTCTTTTCAGAACCTATTCAACTTTCAGATTAAACAACTGTGCTATGAGTAGACAGTATTAAAACAATCAAATGAGATCTTTGTAATGATGCCAGATTTCAGTTGGCTGATAACTGTTTGTGCTTAAACATCGCATAAGAGCATTTACAATATTCCCTACTCAAATTTTGATTTAAAACATCCACCATACTTAATATCTTATTTGCTTGGTTGACTACTGATTATTAACAAACAAAAATAAATCTTATCACAGATTATTATGCTCTTACATTTGGGCTGACTTATAATTTTTATGGAAACAACCTAACAAACCAATTATTAACAAATTACTTTTGGTTAGAATTCAGAATTTACATTTTATTTATACAAGTCAACCACATGTTACACTCCTTCCAAAAACTAAACGTTGAATAATGAATGTACAAGAAATAGTCACAAAAAGTCCAAAGAAAAATCAAAAAGTTTGATTGAATTCAATTATTTTATTCACGGTATAAACCAGTTTACAAAATGGTTACATAATTTAGTAAATACATTTTTGGAATTAATAAGATGACAATAAAATTGCAAGGTACAAACAGGTATAATATAAAACTACAACATGATTATTGACAGTTAATTACAGGATTTAACACTGAAAAAACATGTATGATCAACAATTTAAAAGAAATACTATAAAGGGCAACAAAAAGAGAAGAATAAAACCATTCAAAAGACCAACAAAGCGCCTAATAGAGACAAAAAAATAATAATAAAAAAAGTGTTCACGTTTTTTAAAACAAACAATGTGAAAAGCATTGGCAACAGTAAAAACAACAGTGATATCTAAAATCTGAAAGTTATAATTAACAAAAGAGAAAAAAATCTCTGAAGAACTATAACAGATACTTAAATAGTAAACGACATTAGAGAGTGCAAAAAATTAACATACATAACAGGAGTAAATCTAAAACAACTTTTTGAAACTAAATGTTTTGATCCTAAAGGAAATAATCAAACCATAAGTCATAACCTAAAAAAATAATATATTTCAAATAGCTTCAGGTAGACTTAAAAATACAATGAACATTTATTTTATAAGATATTAACAAATAATGGACAGTGTGAGGGGTTTTTCTTTTCCTATTTTGCACATACATAGCCAATAGGCCATTCAATTTACTTATAAAAACAGTAAATAGCACATAAATCTGTCTGTGGCTCACATCAACTACGACCATTTCAATTTAATCCTGGTGACAACTTTAACATAGGGATGGAATGTCTAGATGTATTAATTTTAAAAGCAAATACTAAAGCCCTACAATATATACACTACTACTTAAATAAACACAATTTGACTATCACAGCTTTCACGGTCTTCACTCAATCAGTCTATATATACTTGATTCGATGTTCCGTTGACAATGATGGATCGAGAAGTCTTGTCAACGATTCGGTAGGCGATTGCGCGTAGTTCCGAGCAATGAACACCGTCTGTGGAAGACAACATCATTTGTAGTCGAGGAAAATCTATTGATTCAGGAATATTTAAAGTGATTTGTTTCTGATACTAGTAGGCAAGTAATGATTGAATTTGTAAAGAAAATTTTTATTCAAATTAAGTTTTAATGCTACACTGACAATGTGTATGACAAAAGCTTGAATTAAGTTTGCCAGAGTAAAAACTTGGAAAACATTAACTGTTTGAAATACAAAACAGCATTGTGGGGGGATATTTTATTATCATTTATAGAGGGCCTATATCACTTAACGTTATCATGGAATATATAACACCAGATTCAAGCTATGCATGAATAATTTCAAGTTTTTTTCATGTTTGTGAATTTTTGTGTAATTAAAATTGAAACACAAGAAATTGTGAAAACACATTGAAAACATCAAACTATTTAATATTTTTTTTAAATTAGGCAATACATAAATAAAAGATTGGTTGATTTTCAAGCCGTTCAAAAATCCCGTTATGCTGGATGCACACCATGGAAGCAAATGGTACCAATCATAAGATCAATGTTCTTTATCAGCACACTATTCCCGCATGCATTCATATAGTAAAACCAACGATGTAAAACTACTGGATTGCGCTCTCGGTAGCACTGGGGGCGCTGTTTTCGGTCTAGCTCCCCCCACCATCTACTGGCAGTAGCCGACACAGCCCATACACTCACCATTGTAAAACGCACCTTTTTAAGTTGCTGTTCTGTTTAAATATATAGATATAAAATGTTGCTAATGCATGCCAAACACTTTTTGCTATTCTAAACTTTATGTCTTCTTCTTTTCTTGCAGAAAATAACACATTTGAACTCTTAAAAACCCTACACTACATTTGTCCAGTTTTTAACGCAAATCTATGCTTGACATTAACGTGATAGGCATACTTTTTGTATGACCTATTTTGTAAGATACATTGTCATTAAACATTGAAAGAAAAAAAATAAAAACTTAGCAAAATTATTCCAAATGTTTATGTACTATTTTTTCGATTAATAAAATAGAATTTCAATTACAATTATTGTACTTTTTATTTCTCCTTTGTAATCACTTATTAATTATTATTTTACCATGTACAATTTGGAACTAGCAATATCAGTGTCTAAAAACATCTACAAAACAGGTTTAGTGAATTTGTAGTTTTAAAGAATTCAGATGGGCTATTTTCTGCAAGAAACAAAACAGACATAAAAGGTTTAACTAGTAAAAAGAGTTTGACAAGCGTTAGCAATATTTTATCCCTATAAATTTTTAACAGAGCAGCAAATAAAAAGTGTGTTTTATAATGGTGAATGTATGGGCTGTGTCGGCTTCTGCCAGTAGATGGTGGGGGAAGCTCGGCCGCACGGCCAACACTGAGCCAGCGATCCATGAGTTGTTTATATCGTTGAGTAAAACTGTACCCAATTAATCAGATTGTAAAATTTAGTCATATCTCTTTCCATATTTAAATCGGGAAATGTACAATAGGGGGGTTAAATTATAAATAAGAAGTGTTTGGTAATGTTGGGCACGCTACACAACAAACCTACAGAAGACAGAGTCTTCAAATAGGCTAGAGTAATTGATTTGGGGTCAGTTTATGAAATTAGTTGTTAATCTGTGATATTCACACAATTGGTATTTTATTTTATTTTTTTTAGGGGAGAAGTTCAAAGCCTGGTCTAAGTAATGACTACTTTTTGTTTGATAAAATCTTATGTTATTTATTGCCTAATAACAAACGGCATCTGGATCCAGAATTTATCTCCCTAGAAATAGAATGTTAGAATGTTTAAAAGACATATTCTCCTTGGGGTTTTGGAGTCCAAATCCTGAGGCGTTGAGTTCCGGTACCGTGATGTTTAACCCTAAATTGGGGTTTAAAGTAATTTTCCAAATTAAGGTTTCAATTAGATAATTTAGTAACAGTTTACCTTTGGGTTTCATAATTATTTTATGTTTTTTCTGTATAAATGTTGGGTTATGCCTTCAAAGTAATCTCCAATGTTTTGTGAAGCTCAAGGGTAAAAAAATTGTTCTCACAATCCACATATGTGACACCAGCAGCATATTTTACTTTAAAACATGAATAGGTTTTTTTGTTAAATTTGATCCTACCACACTTTTTAGACTAAAGGCACAATTTGGGAACACCATGTATTGTCAGTGTTAAGCAAAATAAAAACATGAGTTGGTATAGTCCGTCCTTTTTACTATTGTGAAACAGGTGTACACAACTTAGGTGAACTACACTTTTACCAGTGTAAATTTTACAACATGCATAACACAAGTAGCATTTTGATGAACTGTGCTGTTTTGTTCTAGTTTAGACAATTCAAAACTAACCTTGCAGACATAAAAATGTGTATTAGCTTCAGGCAGAATCTCAACCATTCTACCGTGACATTTCCTCGACTATCAATGATCACATCATAATGTTAAACTATCTAATAGTTAAGGTGTTAAAACATAAAATAAATTAAAAAGTATGTAACATTTTAAACCTTATTTGTAAACTAGTTTGTAAAAAGACAAGCTTAAACAGTATCATTAGCAACTAACATTTTACATTAATTAAAGCTTAAAACCTTTTACAAATGATTAAACACTTTATATGCAAAACATTGTTTGGTTTTTGTGGAAGGACATCTATTGAAGACTTAGACACTTATTGCCTGAAAGACTTGTTTCTTACTTCCTGAAACTTCATTATCGATTCTGACAAATCGGAGCATTCACTTAACAAAAATAATGGTCATTGACGGGATTGGACCCATGACTCAAGGATAGAAGTCCTGCACTGTAATTACAGATCAGCTGTGTACCACTATTGATTATTTAAATACACTAAGAAAATAGTAATTTAAATTGTCTAGTCAAGTAAAAAACACACAAAAACAATTAAAAAAAATGGAACCCAAAATCTAGTCAGAGCTAAAAAATAGCTAATTGATCCTCAAGCGGCTTGAGAAACTTTTTAAACAAAAATAATTTACTAAAACTATGATTGTGAGAAAAACTAAAATGGAAACACTGTCTAAAGCATTAACATTGTTTTAATGCTTTTACAGCCAAATTTGGCTACCACCCATTGTCAGATCTTTATTTACAGCTTGTGTAATATCTATAATCAATGACACAGTAAGCACAATAAGCAATTTTTTCTGGCATTCCCTTTAAACAGAGCATGCAACACAAAGCTATATTTCCCACATTTCAATCAATATTGAGATCTATGGACAAAACATTCCAGTTAAAACAAGATTCTAGTCTGATTTTAAGAAATGTTTCTTAAAAATATTACTGTGAACCATCAAACTACATACATGGTCTTATTAAAATGCACATATACAGGGTGTCCCATAAGTAAACAGCCAAACTCCAGGAAATGTTTCTAAGGGTCAAAATTAAGAGGAAATTAAGAATGACATTTTTCCCAAAAAACACTTTGTTAACCCTTTCCACTTGTATATTGCTTAGCTGCAGATCAGTTGGAAAAATTCAATGATAAAAAAAGGGTGGATATCTGGCTTAACGGTGTGTTTTTGGGAAAAAATCCATGCTTGATTTAATTAATACCCATAGAACCATTTTCCGGAGTTTGGCTGTTTACTTACAGGGCACTCTGTATAGTCTACTAAATATAGCTTCTCTTCTCTAACTTATCTAAATAATATTTATTTGAACTGATTTAAATTATTTTTATTTGTATTGCAATACAGAATAACTCCCCATATTTTACCTTAAGATTACTGACTTTTAGAAATATCCAAAAGCTCCTATCTTTTAATTATTGTTCTATTCTCCCCACTAACATATTCAATCTCAACACAAGTAATTTGGGCTTTTGTGTTTCTATCCAAAAATCATACCTCCATTTATCTTGGGGGAGTTTTTAAAAGTAAATACTGTGTTAACCACATCCTATTAACATTCATTGCTTTTCTTACTCTTATTCTTGAATCTTTGAGCAATTTGTTTGCCACTCTGATTATCAAAACCAATTTATGTTCCCCGACTGATATGAAGAGTTCTACAAGTAATAAGTATGCTTAAACCATACAGTATGGTGCAATAATGGTTTAAGCATACTTCAGTCTACGTTAGCTGAACCACAGAGAAGTAAGGTACAGACAAAGAAAGCTTGTGGTACGACCGTGCACTTTCAGCTCTAGTATGTCGTGCCGGAAATATACTTGTAAGGAGGAAGGAAGAGCCTGAGCGGCTACCACCGTGTGGAAATTCCTATCGCACAGGGCTCTTCCTTCACCGTGAGCGTTGTAGTACATGACGCCATGATCCGTTCCCTTAGACACCAGCAACTAGTGCTAGACACCATTTAAGTGTTCCATTGAGTGTTTCCTCTGAACTTTACTTCTATGTGGCTGAACTTAAAATGCCCTTAAAATTTATATTTGAAAAAACCAAATTTTTTCCAATAACATTTCGAAATGGCACTACACATTAGTCAGACTATGAAGATTTAATGACAAAGCCCAAGGGCTGATTTGGTTAGCTTACATATGAATAAAAAGGAGCCCCATGCAGGAAATAAAGTGACCAACATAATATGTGTTTTTCTTACTATGCACCACACAAAAACAAGACATTTAGATGTATACAATGCTCAAACACCGAAATAATGTTGTGATGCTTTGTTATTCAGAACAAATACTTAGTTTGATTTTGGGTTAGACTGAGAAAACCAGACTTTGATCATTCTAAAACAAGAAAACACATACCGAGGAGCTGAAATTAACCAGTTCTAGAGAAATAATTTTTCCATAAATAAATTATTGTAGCCTAATGTTCAGCCCACTTTTACTGAACACAAAAATAAACTAATACATTTATATTAATAAAAAATTTAATTTGTTGTATTTCAAAAGTTATAAACAAACAGACTCTGTAAAATAAAATCAAAATCAAAACAACTAAAACTAAAATTAAATTCAGCTGATATTAATTTGCTTTTTTATAATTTTCTTTACAACACAAGGTGGATAACAATCTGCGACCTATACTCACAAAAAACTAAATATTTGGGGTCAAATGGCGAGTATCGGTCGCCACGAGCCATTTATCCGAACGCTCGAATGGCGACCTATATTCGACGAAAAAAAATCAACCTCAAAGGGAATAAATATACATACATTTTGAATAAAATTAATTGCAGTAACATACTAACTGTATTTGCTTAACAACAATACAAACCTTCAAGAAGAATACATAAATAAAACAAAAACATAAAATATACAAATCCAAACCAACTGTGTTTTTGGTCCGTGGGGACATCAAAATGAAAAAGTAAATCGATCTAGGGCCAATATCTTATGCCACCTAAGGTAATAACTTATTCCATATAGGAGAAATTCACTAAAATGTGGTTACAATTGGTTTGGATATGTATACTTCAGTACTAAAAGTCAACGATTTCAAGATTTCCCTGGAAGACACCGCACCTAGTAGTACATAAACTACACTCGTACTCACCACAACTATCGCCACGGTGGTGCCGAGTAGGGAGCCAGCGAGCACATCACTCCAATGGTGTTTGTAGTCCGACACTCGGGACAACGCTGTGAACCACGCCATCGAGATACAGATGAACTGAGCAAAGTGTCGAATCAGGTGAGACCCTCTCCAGTACACTCTGCATTGGAGGTAGAGCTGCGGAAAGCGACCCAGAATGTTAAAAACATTTCTTGTGAATAGAGCGTTGTACAGTGGAATTTTCCAATTTTCCTTGGCATATATATATAAATTTTTACCTTCCACAATTGTTGCAAACAGGAACGCCAGAAGGGAAAAATTACATTTCTTCTTCTTGTGAACAAAGCGTTAGGCCTATACAGTTTTGAGAAATTTTCCTTTGCGTAAAATTATTTTTACCTTTCACATGTTTGCGTTTCAGGGTCGCGAAAAATAAATCCAAGGTGATGGTGGGTCACCAGACCAAAATGTTTAGGAACCGCTGACCTAAACCATAAATTATTGTTTAAATTTATGTATCCAAATAAACCAATCTAAAGTATTTATCTTTTGTCTTCTCTTTGACACAGGGAGGGGGCCCAAGGGGGCCGGGCCCCCCCCCGAAATTTTTTTTTTAGTTACCCTGTACACACGGCACACGGGAGCGTTGCAATGCGCGTTCTACAAACAGTCAAATGAGTGCGTACACACTACACAATACGTGTTGTTATTATATAAAATGCCGGATTACTGGAATGTTATCAATAAAAACACATAAAAATGCAATTAAAACACGTCTCCGAAGATCGCGCGATCGGAAACCGCTATTGCCGCGATCGGGCATGACGACGATGACGCGTGACCGCGGGAGACGATGATAACGTGTACACGTCCGCGGGAGATGTTCGTGATTTTGACGCGATCTCGCATGACGACGATGACGTTTCCGTGACCGTGGGAGATGTTTATGATTTTGCCGCGATCGGGCAGGTCGACGATGACGTTTCTGTGACTGCGGGAGTAGACAATGACGTTTACATGGCCGCGGGAGATGTTCATGATTTTGCCACGATCACACAAGACGACGATGGCGTTTCCGTGACCGCGGGAGTAGACAATGATGTTAACACGGCCGCGGGAGATGATACAATATTTTGCCACGAACGGGGAAGACAACGATAATGTCTACATGACCGCGGGAGATGTTCATGATTTAGCCGTGATCGCGCAAGTCGACGATGACGTTTCTGTGACTGCGGGAGTAGACAATGACGTTTACATGGCCGCGGGAGATGTTCATGATTTTGCCACTATCGCGCAAGACGACGATGACGTTTTCATATTTTACATATTTTTGGGTCGAGTTTTCGATCACTGGACGACCAGTAGTATGCTTTATTCTATAAGTTGAGTGTAGTTTTGTTAGCTTGATTTATTTTATTAAAATTACGTCACGTAGATTAATAGTAGTTTAGGCAACTTGTTTAGATTTCAGAACAGTAAAAAAACAAATTTTTAGTAGTAATACACCAATATTATTCTCTACTTTAGAGCCTCCAGAGGTGTTGTAAACTGCAATTTAGCACCATAAAATACCAAAATTTTTCCCCCTTCGGTCCTGGGGGGTATTCCATGCCCCCCACACCCCCCGGATCGGGCCCCCCCCAAAGCAGAATCCTGGCTACGCCACTGCTTTGACGACTTGTATTTGAACCACAGTCTACAAAGCTGACTAAAAGAGCTACAGTAAAACATCACTAACTCGACAATTTGTGGACCCAGATTTTGAGTTTAGGGATTGTCGAGCTATCCAGAACATTGGCATGTTTAATAGGTTATAATAAATAACGGACTAATGTTTTAACATAGAAGTTTATTACCATCCTGAGTTATTTACATATTGAATAAAAAAGATTGTCTTAGCAAATATAAATGTTCTAAAAAATGCTTTTTTGCATGCGCCCTGTCAGCTATTAACGATTGAGTAACATACTGTCGAGTTACATGGACTTTCGAGTTTCACAGACTGTCGAGTTAGTGAGGTTTTGCTGTATTAAAAAATAGTTAACGAAGCACATCAAACTTCACTGCACATCAAAATAAGATTTTAAGCAGTAATCTTTATTTTCTGAACTTGATTCACTTAAATAACTCAAAATATTATCATTTTAATTCCCAAAAAAAACAAAACATCTAAAACTTAAACAATTTAGCTACAAAAGCCATTCAAATCAGTCTTTATAATCATACTAAAACCATTAAACCATTAATTAAAAATTATACTTACAACAAGAAAGACCATGGTGTAGGCAGAGAAAGAGGAATGTCCTGATAAGAATGATAACCTGGAAAAAAACATAAATATCTCGTTAATGCAATTTTCTCTTCTATAATCTGTACTCACTTGTAGCTTTACCCTGTTAAGGTACTCGGAATGTAACTTCGATTAGCCCTGTGTTGTGGTTTATCTGAAAGCTATTATAGAGATTTGTATCCAAATAAACACAGCTTTTTCTACTGTAATGATGTATTTTTCTCATACTTTATACTTTGATACTTTTCGATGAAATGGCGACCATACAAAGTAGGTATTTTAAGCCAAGTATGAATGGAGATGAGTGTAGGATGAGAGGCACGATACATACATCATTGTATCATGTAACTTCAATGAAAAGTGTTAAGATTTGCGTCAAAGGGTGTGGGGAGTGGAATGTGGGGTGAGACAGTGGGGGGATGCAGAGGCTGAGTGCGGTTTCACCTGTCGTCAGTTCTAATTCACTACCTCAACCAATGCTACAAGTAGTTCTGCGTAGACAGGCGTGATGAATCGAGTACAACATGTACAAATATTTAAAAAATCAAAAAACATAAAATGTGGCGGATTCAACATACAACACCGGCCTTTCTAAGACTTTGGATAGGCATGCACTGTGGATGCGACACTCCCTGGTGTCGATTAACGTCCGCAATAGTGAATACTACGACTATCCGCAGTACTGTCTTGATAATTAGACCAATTCATTATTAATACCAAGACAAAAAGGACACAGTCCTTAGCAAGGAGAAACCGTTCTCTACGCGATCAGGGAAGACATGTCTAACATTGCTGAATATATCTCACATACCTGCCCTCTCTTATCAGTCTAGCGTTGTCCCCTTTGCAGGTGAAGTCAATGATGTACGTGTTCTGGTACTGGGGCAGTGAGCAGTCAATGGAAGGCTGACAGACAGACCAGAAGTGCGGTCGCAGCCGACCGATGGTGTACTTGGCGATGTCCGTGAGCAGCTGACTGCACGCTGCACCGAAACCGAATACTCCGATTACGCAGTAACATCTACAAACAGATATATGATACACGGAGGAACTATTGGCAAAATAATAATTGTACAGAGGGACTCTATTCAAACACCATGGGACAACAATTTTAAACAATCCAGACATTTGAATATAAAGGGTAGATAAGGCTAAATTTGGATTACGAGACTTCCTCAAGTTTTTTGCAGAAATTATTAAAACAAGTATAGACAGAGCCAGTACATACTTGCAACTGTAGTTATGCAATTCTGATAGAGAAATGAATCAAATAAAAACTTTATGAAAACATAAATATCAACGATGATAAGAAAATCTTTCTAAATACTAAATAAGTAACAAATATTAAATATGTATTTTAACCTGTTAATGCTTTTTCATAGATGTAAATGGATGGAACAGCATTAAACTCTCTGTTTTCAAAACACTTTTAACGGTAATTAGCATAAAAAAATCATGAGCAAAACTATAGACATAGTGTTGAAAATGTGAAGATGTTTATTGGAAAACTATCCATGTAAAAATTCTTTGCCATTCCGAAAATTGCCAAAATCTATGCTAAGAGCCTTTTGGTGATAAGAAACTTGAAATTTTGTCTTATTTTATCTGAAACATTTGCTAATGAAGACTGACATTGACCTATCGAATGCAATTATATAATCATGAAATTATATAATTTGAGATAAAAGCTTTGTGTGATCATAGAAAACGGATGCTAGTGCCAATTTATCACTTATGATTGTCGACCAGATTATTTCATATGCTTTAATCATTCTATATAATATTGTAGCATTTCTTAAACAATGGATTTACAACTGCCCTAGTTATCTTCTCTTTCTACTTCTGCACTAGTAAATTCTTGGTTAATTTATGGTAGAAACATTTAACAATGAGATATCTAGTTTTATTTCATCTGACTCAACAAGTATAATTGAGTTTAGGAGATAAAGAGATAGTAAAAGAGAATAGTTAGAACTGAGAGTTGGGTGAGTTTTGTAGCTTTGGACAGCAGACCTCCAATTATTTAAATCAATAACCTGACCACATTCGAATGAAAAAAAAAAATAAATAGTTGTATTTTTACTAAAGTTTGGAGTATTTAATAGAAAATAAACTGAGTTGAGCAGAGATTTTACTATGGGGATCACAGAACAAGTCTCAAAAGCGTGGTTGAAAAATTCATGAATTTTGCAATTGCGGTAACGATGATGTCTAAAAGACCACAGAAGATGTTCAAGATATTGCAGCTAATAGAAAAATGATGTTGTTTCCATGAACACAGAAGGCGATGGTGATGTCCGCACACCCGAGGAAGATATTCAAGATTTTTCCATGATCCCAGAAGACGATGATGATGTTTCCGTGTTGCATGAGGCAATGATGAGGTCCAGACAACCATGGGAAATGTTCAGGATTTTGCCTTGATCACGTTTTCTTCCTTTTTAAATAAGAATATTTATTACTGTAGTTTTAGGTTATTCTGTCTGTAAGCGATTCAGATAGTAAGAGTTCTTATGTACTGTGACCAGTTGATTCCTTAACCAGAATCATGAATTTCAAAGAATGAGGAAAAACACCCATAGGTCTATAAATTAAAACATTACCTCCAGACCCACGGGTGTACATTCCGGCCGTTGAATGTTACTTTTCTGTTGGCATGACTCTCCCCACTCCGATAGTGTATCCATTCAACAACCAGAAACTGTGAACAAAACAAACTTCTCAACTCTATTTCTTACAACTGAGAACTATAGAGATTGACATAGACATTGAGTAGGCCTACGGTTAGCAAACATGTTTGTCTAAGGCACTCGCTTAGACCAAAGAAAAAATGGGATTGATCACAAGAAAATGTTTACAACCATCACCTATACAATGTTTATAGTTTTAAGCCTTTTTACATGATAAAAGTAGAATAATTATCAATTTGGTGTATAATTGTGATTTTACTTAGACCTACCTACCACTCTACTCAATGTTTTTTTAAACATTACCCAAATTGTGAATATAAAATATTATGAGTAATGTAACAAATCCAGTATCTACAAGTGGCCAAGTTACCACGTTACAACCCAAAAACTATAGCGGACACCAACTAAACTTGTATTTTTTAAGTTTGTTAAATAGGGCATGTTTTTGTTTATAATAAAGGTGTGGGGTTCAAGTAACGCCTGAGTTGTCTAACGGCGACTGGGTTCGACACCTCTGGCGTCGTTTTAAGCAGAAAAACATAAAACTGTTAACTCATAGAAAATCAACATGTCTTTCAAAAACATTCAAATTTGCTAAAATAAATTTAAATTCTTCTGTTTAGTTTCACAATCTTTGTTTGAATATAGATTATTACATGTTGATCAAACAAAGCTAGAAAGTCATCAACTCACTTTTAAAAGATACAAATTGTTAAAAACTTTAAAATTAGGTTGAGTTGAATTGAGGATTTAGATAAACCATTTTAAAACCAAGCTCAAATAACAAATTAAATACATTATCAAATTATTCAGAATCAGAACCAGAATCTCAATTATTGTCATTGATGAAATATAGATTGAAACAGACATTGTCAGAATTCTCAAAACTAATTAACTGACAAACAAATACATCTGCATTTTAACTAGCATATTCAGTGAGGTGTAACTAATGGGATTTACTCGCAGGATCGCTCAAAGCCATAAACTGTTGGGGTAATGTTAAAAAGGTGTTATTCGGTTTAACATTTTTTAGTGTTTTTTTGCAGGTTTTAGCCTTAAGATAAAAAAAAACAATTTTCATTACAGACGTTGTGTGGAGTCAAAATATACAATTAGTTTTATACATTGAAGCGTTGTTGTACAATTTAAGGTTATAGAAAAATAAAATAAAACTTTAATTTAATTTTTTTCTTAGTTTGGAGTGAGGTGAGAAAATAAACTGTTGTTGCTTGCTTATTTAGGCTTGCTTTGGACATATTTTAATTAAATTTATTTATTGTATAAATACAATCAACTATAAATAAATCTGACATGTATAAAAGGAAAATTTCTTTAGTTAAAAATTAAAATTCAAACAGACAAATGGAAATTCACTTGTCAGCAGGTTTGCTGCAGTGGCTATTTTATGTTTAGGCAACCATTTACAGACATAAAAAGCAATGATGAGGTTTTTGTGATTTAACCCACAATTATCTTATCAGTAAATGAATGGGTCTTGTTTGTTAATTGAAGTAGGTTGTACAACTCAGCACGATAATTTGTAGATTGGAAATACTGAATGATTGGGGCTTTTGTAAAATAAGCTTATGTCATGAGCATTTTAATATCAATATTCTTGTCTTCAAGGTATTTTGATAAGAAATGCCTAGGTTATATACTTTTAATGGTCTGTTTTATTTTATTTTACACACCAATTTATTATTTTCATTTTCAATAGTGCTAGAACTTTATTGACACTGTTCATTGTACCATGTTCATTTATATAAACATGATTTATTGTATACTAGAGAACCCGTGCGGCTCAATGAGCCGCATATTATGAAACATAACGCCGAGGAAAACGTTATGCTTAAATTCAAGTAATTCTAGTTACATCTTAGAGTTGTTTAAACACTTGTTAGAAACTAATTTTAAATATCTCTGTTTGCGTCGTCAAGGTCTACCTACATTATTTCTGCTCTCCGTTTTAATTGATAACTTCTAATGAATGCTAAACGATCTGCTTCAATTCGAGTTAACATGTTGCAACAAAGTTTTTCCAGCATTAAGAATTGAAGAAAACTGTTGCCTTAATTATAACCTGTGTTTATTTAAGTTGGGTCATTTTATTTCTTTGATTCGAGACATCCTCCTAATTAAACGAATTTTCTTTGTAGAGAATCCTTAAAAGTGGAGTGATATCAACTATTTAATGTGCTCCATTTTTTACCCACAAACTCTGGGTTATCAACAGGAAAGCCATAATCTGCGTTGAATAGGCTAAAGCAGCAACACCATGAAATAGGTTGGATAACTCTTGTAGCTATAAGATTTGGATAGGAATTTTCATTTTCTCTTTTTGAACAGCGTATGTTATTTGCCTCTCCTGAATCATAAAAATAAACTTGACTGTAGCTAATCGATCGTTAAATACATAAACACTATTTCCTTCACTTATGTCTAATATTGCCACTAAAATTCAGTCAAAAAACTTTGTATACGTTTGTCCGAGGAACTGGCAACATAACCAAGAAGTAAACAAACAATCCATTTGTTTTTTTTTCCTAAATTAAAGTAGAGCGAGTAATACAAAAGTTAACAATAAAAACTTAAGGTCCGCCAAGATTTTGTATAACCTTACTACTTGAACTTATCATAGTCAAGGCATTATTATTGTTTGTACTAAATGTTTTGAGATCTGTCAGTGTCAGAAGTAAACATTTCTCGCATGCATTCATTTGACCTGACATTAGGCAAGTATACTTTACCACAGTGACAACACTATGTGCTTAATATATTTTTTCACTTCCAAAGTAAGTTGCATAGCAGAACTGGCAAATATTATTCATCTCACCAAGTGAATGTGTATCTAGATGGGTATCTGTTAGATCAGACCTCTCTTTTTCTTCTCTCCTCATACGCATAAGATATCTTATTATTAATAATTGTCTCCTCCCGTTTTCAATATTTCTTCTTTGAACTTGAGGCATTTTCCGTTCTTCCAACAAAACTGATTAACTGTTTAATTTGGTCTTAACCTACTGAATATTAAAACATCAATATTTACTCCCAAAAAGCTAAAAGGTTTCTTTTTATAAACAGCTGTTTTTTGTTTTTAAATTTGTTCTATGTATTTCTTATGGGGAAAACCCGACCTTTGAGAGGGTCTCGCGCCCTTAAGAGTAGACATTTTAAAGTTCTAAAACCTTATTGCAAAACTACATATTGAGACGAATCTTTTGACACCTTAAACGTTAAAATTGGTCCACAAATAAGGGAGGAGTTGCAATAACAAAATACGGCTTCACGTATTATATATATAGATAGATTGTCTAAGAATAGCCATTATTAATTGCTGCAATTAATTCAACTAATCCAAGCAAAAAATATGCAACACATTAAATTCTAGAAAAATTGTGAATAGCCTAGCAGTATAAAAATAGTACAGGAATTTATCTGAGCCTGTATTAATTTGTTATGGCCACAATGTGCTGATCATGAACATTCTTCGTGACACATATTTTTTCTGTAATTTCAGCCAAATTGATCCAGAAATTGTTTGACGGTGAAAGCCTAAATTCAGTCACTTTATTTGTACATCAGTTGTAGTAGTTTACTTTTAAATATTTTATAAGGAGTTGTTAATACATAAAGATAAAATCAACTACAAATCAAACATTCCATGCTACACAAGAATATTTGTGTTATCTGGTGACAAAGTTCAAACCATCTATTGACATGGAAAACTGATGTCAAAGCAAACAAAGAAACAAAACATTGCAATGACATTGAATCGCAAACAGCTTGGCAAACTATTTGAAAACGCACACAAGATTCCAATACGGTAGGGTAAAACATTTGTTACCCAGTCTCAATGCAATATCTCATCAAAGCAGATCAAAAGTTTTCTTGAGATATTTAATCTCAAGATATAGCTTGTTTGACTTTAGAGAGAATTTTCACTTCCCTTTCTGGTAAGGTGGACCTAAATCTCGATGGTCCACTAAATTTTTTAATAAGCAACACTAAAAGGCATAGGGAGTTCATAAAATGTGTACAAAAATAGAAGACTTATGGTTTTATACTTTCTTATTCAAGTGATCCAATGGAAAATTATACCTAAAATTGTTGAATCTAAATGCTGATTAGTCTATTTTATACAATAGAAATTTTATTATTGTTAGTATTTTCAAATAAAAAATGTAAATACTGTATGGATACAAATACCAACAGTAAATACTGTTATAAAAAAACCAGCAGACAGCAACATTCCTGCTGCTTCAATTTATTGTAATTTTGCAATATGATAAAAATAATCAAACTATGATAAATGCAATATTTTATTCTCTGAGATAGTAAAAGCCTGAGTTAAGTTGATAAGTTCCTTTGATTTTTTTATATAAATCTCATTTTCAACCCATTCAGCTTCTTGATCTATTTTGTTTACATAATTTTATACTGTTATCATGACATTTTTGAAACACGTATTAGTAAAATAAAATGATTATCAGAGTACCGTACTATGGTATTTCTTATTTCACTTAGTTATTGAAAAAGTAGCCCTAGTAAAAAGAACTTAAAAAAGTAAACTACATCATATACAAAACTAAAATGTGCTACATAAAAAAGTTTTTAATTAAAATGTACCATCATAAACAAAAATTTAATTTGGATTTTAATGGTACCTGAAACCAAACTGATATTAGAAAAAGATAACTAATGATATTAAATAACGTATTACAAAATACAAATGGCTGGACAAATTTTGGGTTGTTCCCTCTTAATTATTTTATCAATTTCTGATATGAATAATGAATTTGTTAATGAACATTACAAACTGTACGTATCACAGCTAAGTATTGCAACCTATGTAAGTTACATATCACAGCTATATCCCGATGACACGGAATCCTGATTGAATAACAACCTTGACAACTAACATTTCCTGTTCATAACAAGATTTCAACCAAACATTCTAGAGAATATGTGTGGTATGCAACATTATGTGGTATTTATTTGACTACGCATATGTTTCAAGCCCAATAAACTATGTAAGCACAATATAGTACACATTTCCTTCCTCAATGATACACTACAAAACAACAAAAAAAACATAAAAATTGGCTGCTATCAAGTCTTTTTCTATTCACAATACATTTCAAACCAATTTGGACAACTTATAATTATGTGCAATTATAAATCTAGACAACAAGTAAAAATAATTGCAACGCAAACAGTTTTAAATATTTCTTTCACGAATGGACATATTAAGCTTAGGTTTTATTTTGCAACTATTACAAAGTAGACTAATAACTAATTTAGTATTTTAAAATTTCCAATAATTACTGTTTCAACGATATTTACAGAATATGGAAACTCATATCAAGATTTGATAATTGATAAGGAGAATTGTATTTTTAAAATGCATGTTTAATGCATTCTATTTTAGTTTAAAAACTAACTAAAAAACATCTAAAAATGTGTTGCATACTGTGCAATCTAATATTTACAACAAAACATTTGTTATAATAACTAGGTACCTAGAATAAAACCAATTGTCTAACACAAATGGAAGTAAGTACAGTATACTATACAGCATATTCCAGAGCCTAGGTGAAAGTATATGAAGTCATTGATGACATCATCAGAAAAACTAGGTGACCTTCCTTTATACAGTAGGTACTCAAAAGGTTACGGTGAAAAATGGTATCCTTTGTTTTTGTTTTTGTATTTCAGGTCATACCTGTTACGCTAAATGTAGCATAATAACACTTTGGCAATGGCAAAATAAATATAGTTTGTTTTAGAAGATGTATTTTAAATTCTTATAACGATTTCTTATAATTTTTTTATCTTTCACAAATAATTTGTCAATGTTGTTACTAAAATATACTTGTGTTGTTCACTAATTTATTTAAACTTTATCATAAGAATATTAGCCAGTTTCTAATCATTAAGCTTGGCCTTTTATATGAACCAAGTAGGCCCCTACTATGCTATGTAATTATTATATCAAATATAACATTTTAGTAGTAATGTAGGTAATTTATAGGATAGTGGATTTAAAGTCATTATACTAGTGGGTTATAGAATTTCTTTGAACACAAAAATAAAACGAGAAAGTAACTTGACCTGATGAAGACTCTACAATCAATAGTCTGAATGTCGAACTCAATTGACCTCAACCAAGGCTGCAATCACTGCTTGGTTTATAACCTTAAATTCTATTTATTAGCTACAAATACCATATTTAAAATAATAACCCTTAATAATTGTAATTCTCTCTTAATTTAAACTTTTAAAAGAACTACTAGAAAAGGAAAGTACAAATTGGAATTTTTTCATTCTGATGTTTTCTAATGGAGAAGATTTTGTTTACTAAAATCATTTATGAACACGGATCTAGTAAGTGGTATTCAATGATTTCATCATTATCTTATATGTGAAGGGTGTTTTTGCCCAAAGATTCTGAATCAATCATTTAGCCTAACGGATTTTCACAATTCTTTTGGAGGAAACATAATTTTGAGAGGAAGGGAATGTCAAAGCCAAAATTTAAACTTTGGATTAATACTTTTCAGAAACTTAATTTTACATTTTTAAAAGTCTATGAGCCGACCATTATTTTGAGTTATTCCCGATCAATGTGATTTGGTTTACCTAACAGCTGTTTTTTTGTTATTTAAAATATCATAGTTGATTGACCCACTCATCGAATCGTACAATAGGCCTACTGTCTGAAATCACTTTTTCCCTATTTCTTTATACCTACTTTGAAGGATTAGCTGTTTAGAGAAAGACTCTTTCTGCAAACTGTTACTAGCAGTTTTACGTCGGAAGTGTTTAAAAATATTGATTTTTGGTATTACGTACCTTTTACGATGATACTAAATTTATAGTTTTTTTTTATAAACCTAGGCCTAAATGATTTTTATTTTTAGGGAATTTATTATTTTGAACTATATTCCAAAAATGTTTGTGTAAGTTAATTATGTTTTGTCAAAAATATAATCTTTGTAAATAAGTTTAAGTTAAGAGTTAAACTCTCTTTTTTTCAGCAAACAGTCGCTCAAGTTTAAGTGGCTGACATGAGAATAGCAAAGGTTTGCAATTTTAAAATTGGACTGAATGACAATTTTGCTATGCTAAACTATTTTGCAAGGTTATAAATTCTAAATCTTATTCACTGATACAAAACTTAATACATATATTATTGTGTAAGAGAACATCTTCATTGAATAGCACTTCATTATGTTATGATTTTAGGGATTGCCCGTTTTAACCGACCTTTCGAGTTATCCGACCTAGGTCCGGTCCCATTAGGGTCGGTTAAGAGGGGGTCTACTGTATTTGAATAACTCTACACTGCCTCTCTCGTAAAAATTCCACTGTCGTCGACATAAAGAAAAAAAGGTTAACATTGGCGATAGCAACAAGACAACAAGACCTGGGTTGGATCATTCCCTTACCAAAAAAGTAAAAAATACACCACTGGCATAAATACAACCAAAATTAAATTAAAGGAATAGGAGCAACACATCACAAACATATATAAGGTCTTTTGGTATAAATTATTAGTGAAATATTAAGCACCATCATCAAAGAGTTGATTACACTAACAAGACAACAGACAACTATATAAGAAAATCTATGAATCTAAAAGCTAGGAATAACTAACAAAATTACTTACCAAACAAATCGGTAGAACAAGGCCAATAAAATAGAGCATAAAACTTGTCACTGTTGAGTCTTTAAATGGATATCGTATTGACTCATCATTACAAAATAGACCTCTTTGATAAGGTGAACCAAACAAGTAGAAAAACAGCAATGGGAATCCAACTGGAACAAAAAATCAATTATATTAAACTTTCCAAATAATTTTCCAGATCAATAAAAGATAGTTGGCAACTAGAAATCTAACAATAACACGAGCAAAACTACTTGCAAGACAACTAGCCTATAAAACTTAATGGAGCTTGGATAACAACCATCTGTTTACATTCTGGCACGTGTTCAACAGAAGTAGCACTTAGTGCTTCTCAAACAATAGCTCAATACATTTGAACTCACCTTTGAGAGGTACGGTACAAAGCAGATATAGTAAAACATTGATGCTAGAAAAATTGTTAGTAGTACCGGTATTTCAAATGTGTAATTAAAGAGTCCATAAGATTTTACATTGAGGGCTTACTATGGGTTAAGTATAGTGCTCATAATACATAGGCTAAAATATGGTACCGGTACTGGTACATTTACAATGAATGTTGCAGTAGGTATACTTGCAACTAACAACTGTTTGGTGACTTGCATTTAACTTAGGCCTAACGTCATTTGTATAAGATTTTTAAAAAGGTCTAAGTTTTCGCTACAGTATAAAACGTAAAGTTTAACCTATTGTATTTCAAAGGACAGTTCAGTCATATTTAACACATCGCTGTCAAAAATATTATTCTTTGCGCTAGGCCTATCTACAATTTTCTGGCACAGTTCTTACACAGGTCCATCAGTCGCTCTGCCGGTGGTCCATCTCTCAATTCCAGCTATCTTTCAACTGATATTTTGGTAATTTGATCGAACGCCTGACTGACGTGTGATATTTTAAGTATTTGACATTCAAACAATTTACTTAGTGTTTTATTATTTTATTAAAGTCTGTATTTATAGCCAACTTGGTTTATAAAATCATCAAGATGCATGATGAAAAGTTGCTTAGTATAGGTACCCAAGTTAAGTTATGGTGTTTTATGTGTTTATTGTGTTTTTTTGTAGCTAAGTTAGGCCTAGCCTAGTTAAAAAAAAATGCTTTACTGTAACTTAACAACACTGTCGGCCTAGGTCCTAAATAAAGTGACGGTAGACTGACTGAAACCAACTGACAGACAGTTGACTGAGGAATTGTGGATGCAGCTGAGACTGAACTGTCCCTGTGACGGAACTTTGACAGGACTGATTAACAAAAATCGTCCTTAATGGTGTTGGTCAATGTATTTACCGATATAGTACACTACTTACACTCTCTTGGAGGTCCTAATAAAAACAAAATTATTGAATCTTAAAACAATATAAAGACGATATCCTACGCTACAGAAGGGCTTGTTGTTATCCAGTTGTATCAATAACTTGTACAATAAGTTATGTTCGAATAATTTTCAACCTGAAACTGGCTTATGAAGTGTATAATTAAAGTGCCCTAATATACAGGTAAAATAAACCCTCACAAATAGGATACATTAGTTAACATCAAGGTTGAAAATAAACAGAAATTTGAAAGGTAAGTTATGGTATGCCAACTGCATTGACACCAAATTAGGCCTACTGTTAACTAAGAACATGTTCAGTTGACTAAAGCCTAAACAAAAATTTAAAAACATTTAAATCTATGGTCCTTTGAGTAAAAAAAGGTAGGCCTAAATGTTAATAGATAATGAATTAGTTCTTACCACAGGCTAAGCATATAACATCAATTATAACTTTTCTCGTGGTTGATCTTGATTCCACTTCCATGTTGATTCAATAGAGAGATGAAAAATCAAATTGCAAAACAAGAAATCCCGATATGTGATTTTTAGGTCGGTATTCAATTCAATTTAGTTATTGAGTACACCTAAATGCCAAACACACCTACTCCGTTGAACGTTGGTTTGGTTGAAGGCATTTGACATTTGATTTGACACTTTCTCCCGACGAATGAAGGAATGAATACAGTGTTTTTTTCGTTTTTTTCACACAGTCCGGCGCATACATGGATTGGATTGGATGGCGTTTACCCCTACCAAGTCAGCTGACTGACTTTATCACTCAGGGTGACAACATGAAAAATCTCCTTTAGAAACAGCTGTGTTGTTAATAGTATCATTGATTATAGATTTCCGCTAATCAATGGTAGTATGAGTCAATGATAGGTCTCATAGTTCCTATTAACTTCAAATAACACTTGGTTGGAATAGTTCCGAATAATTTCAAGCTGCAAAAGCTCCAGACCATTTTGGACCTATTGGAAAAGTTACACAATTCTCCCAGAGTTCTGAGACATTTCAAAAGAATCTTTCGGAGCTATATAATTTTAAAGCTCCGAATTCATTAACACCCCTTCTCCACCAACGGCACCTCTACTAAACTGCTGCCACGGCCACCTTTAACTACGGGCCGTGGCCTTCGAAGTGGCAACGTCGCAAGTAGGATTGTAACAGCTGTTTTGTTTTGAAGCAGCTAATAAATTGTATTTACGAAAGCCTGGATACTGGACTATGGAAATGACTCCGCTTTAAATGTACAGATATAGATTTATATTGTTTTGGTGTTCAATTTTGTATGTTTTATTTTCAATATTTTAACAAATTTATGTTCATAAATTTTAATTTTAATCAATAATGTGCTAATTGATGAGCTGATGTCACCTATCATCTTTGTGGGACGTCTGACACTAAACAACCCTTCTTTCGATTGCCAATTCTACTATTCTACCAAGACGTGGCCTGGAGTTAAAGGTGGCCTTGGCTGCTGCTCTGGAGAAAGAAGAGGGGTCAACATCAATCAATTAATGTTGCTTTTTGGAGCTATATAAATTAAAATTGATCTAGTCTTTTAGCGATTTTATGTGTGTGTAGCTATGGGGACATTCCTTAGTATGCAGAGATATAAAATACCCCCGTTGCAGACTAAGCGAATTTTCATTTGCCTTACAAACCCATTTCCTTGTCAGATTTATTCTAAAATAACATTGTTAAAAAAAAAATAATAAAGTTTGCTGCAATGGGTAGTACATGACAGCAAGGGCGTCGGTGCAGGATTTTGCTCTTCTGGGCACCAGTACTAGTGCTAGACCATGGTCACCTTTAACTCCAGGCCGGGCGTTCTAAGTGGCAACTCTGTCAGTAGTGCTGTTCAACAATATGAATAACAGATTAAACAAGAAGGTGTCACGTTTCTGACATGTTAGCTTATGGGAAGTCTGGTGTAGCAGAGGTTGCTATAAGAATAAAGGAGGAATAACATCAGGAAAACAACTTTCAAATGTATATATATATATATATTTACAAACAAATGTTCGTGTAAGTGATATAACAGTGGACAAGGAAAAAATAAAATATATTGTACACACTAAATAAATTGAAGGCGTAATATTAACACAATTAAAAAAAGGTAACAATCTATACTGCTACAGGCAAAATATAAAATATAATTCATAACATTAAGGTACATAAATCATTCATGTGTCGAGCATAATGTACCGTACTAAAAAGTGCCAATTTCAAAATTTTGTTTACAGTTATAATACTGATGAATATAAATACAAGTAGTACGTTTTGCGGACAGATATTAAATACAGATTAACATTTTTTTATAGTAAATAATTTCCAAATACAAGGTTTTATATCAATAATAAATCAAATATAGTCCAGATCTTATGAGAAAAATTTCTACATTTTAAGAAAAAAGGGGTGAATGAGACCAAATTAATACATCCTATAACCGTTATACATTTTTTGTTTGAATAATATAAGGATGTAAAATATTTTTGGAACATTTTAAATGTATTGAGCATAACTTTTTGCTAGATAAGCAAAATCATTGAATTATAGGAATAAGCTATTCTATAAGCTAACAATACACAATAAACTAAATAATATCATAAACGTTTAGCACTTACGAACTAATAAAATGCAAATTACACTGTTTTATGAACATGATATCAAATTCAATGGCTAATACATTGTATGGTTAAACTAATGTAAACGCATTAAAAAATATCAAGAAGCAATTCAAAATTAGATCAACAAAATGTACGTAAAAATAAGTCTATCTATACAAAATTAACTTTAAAAAAACCATTCATCCAATCGTTGATAAAAATTGAGTTAAACTTTATACAATCATCTAAAACATATTGGATGCAATAAAATCTCAGTTTGAATACTTGCTGTAACATATAATCGTTGTAACAAGAACATTTTATGTTTGGCACAGTATAAAAAAAGTTTTAAAACTATAAACGGTATCAACAAACTGACTTATACTTTTGAAAACCAGTAACCACTTTAGTGTGTTCAGGGAAACCATACAGATATTTCCTTTTAAAACTCAACAATATAGGCAAAAATCATATTTTCTCTATATATGTAAAGGAGAAGTAAGTAATACATATCTTCATACACAGTACCTTCTAAAACATGAATTGACATAGAAGTTTATTTAATTCAACACAAATACAACTAAAATACAAGGGTATATAAATATCACGTTTATAAGTACATAACTGTGTGTAAAACTAATGGCTAAGCTATTGTTTGTGTTATATTGCTTTCAGCTTTCAAGACATCATTAACTTTCAATAATCAGAAGCAATTCAATAGTAAATGCTATAATGCAATAATAATATTTTGTTATGCATTAGGGTATGAATACAAATAATTTTCCTATGGCAGAAAAAAATATCTCTAGATATAAATGTAAAATAAGAATGTAGGCTATATTTAAGGATCTGTTGTATTTACAATTTTCAAGTAGTAAATATCGATTACAAATATTTCAATTAGTTTTAAGAACTGAGAAACATTTTCTAAAAAAAACTTACTGGTCAACCCAGATCAATTGCAAAATTATTGTTAAACTCCACAAAGAATTGGACAACTTATATGCAAAATGAAAAGTATATAAATAATTGTATATTGATAAACTAAACTTAAGTTTTAATTGATTATAAGTGGTAACTAATGAAAAGGTTGGTTCAAGACGCTTTAACATATAAAATATCCCTTCAAAAATATCTTTTGGATTTTAAAAATATATTTCGTCGGTTTTGCTTGTGAAAAAATAAGCACATCCATGTAAAAATTCATTAACAACGCTGCATCATGCAAATACTTAAAGGATATAAACAATATTTACCTACGGCCGTTTTTTTAAACTAGTTTTTTCAATTCAGTTCTTTTTAGAGTTGAAAGGATTTACTTTACAGTATTGTTTACTTACTTTACAGTATTGCTTTGTTACTTTACAGTCCAAGTTTTGAACAATGAGGTTCAAGAATTGAGAAAAGAAGTAAAATTGTAATACTTTGAACATCAGATTTTGACTGTTCTGTAAAGCAGTGATATGGTGGTGTAATATTTGTTTTTGGAATATTGTTAAATGAAGGGTCTAATGTTTGACAAATGACACAGATTTAACATTAGATAAAGTTTTTAACTGTTATTTAAAAAATAAAAATAAAAACAGTTCTGAACTAGACTTCTGAGCCAATTCATACACAACAAAAGACGGACAAAAGGTGTTATGACTCAGTCAAGTGAAAAATATCACTAGTTGATTATAGGTTAGTTTAATAAACATGAAATCGTTAATGTGAAAGTATATCCAGATGTTTTTAACTTTTTTATCGAAACTAAAGCACATTTTGTATGAAAGTTTAAACGTGTTTACGGGAAAGTGGTCTAAACCCATCAAATTATTGATATACTAGGATCGAACCTGATTCTTGCCACTAGGCTAGCAACAGGGCATTTGTAATTTTAATAGCTTTTAATTCGGAACATATTTTAAAATCAAACTACAATGCTCAGTACTCAAAAAGGTAGTTTTAAAAGTTTTCCCTCAACTTTCTCTAGTGTAGCTTACAGCGCAGTTCTAGGCACAGGGTTCCGCAGCACTAGTGCACTTTCCGCAGAGATGATCGGAAGTTTGTTCTGGCAGTGGTAGTTGATCAGATGACTGACACTTTCAAACATTCGGTCCTTGGTGCGAACCTAAACAAGAAATACAGTAGAGTGTGGTGGAATTGACTATGTGGCGTCAGGCCCACAGAGAGAAATCTCTGGCCCCTGGGCAATCGTTGCCGCGGGACCACTCCACTCCCTCCCCAACGCAACGACGCCAGCGCGGTGGTTGATGGTCTTAAACTTATTAATAGCACTTATCACACCATCTCAGATTTTAAATACACTTTTAAGGCCATGAAGGACTTTTGTTTTGTTTTGTTTTTCAAAAGAGATCTGATATTTAAAGATCTCTCGCTTTTGTAATAAAAAGCTAGTTAAAGATATCTATATTTTCATATTTTTTACTGATATTAACACATTCACTGCGGGTTACCGGGTGCCCGGTAGTCCAAGCCAATGCCAAGCTTTAGGTTTTATTTTTATGTTTATTATGTTTATATGGGCCCATAGTTATAGTTACAAAACTCTCAGAAATGCACAGTTCTTCAATTAATAAACTACACACCGAACGATCGTCATTTCACAACAAAACAATAGCTACATACCAACGCCGGCAACGCCACTACACACATGGTAAACAGTAGAACAAAACAGTAACCTCACTACACAATCGAAGAAATGAACTGACACTAAACCAGTGCTTCCACTTTACTTCAACAGTTTTTCCCTCGCCAAAGCCTGAAATTTCCCTTTTTTACCTCAGGACATTTTAGACCAGGCCAGGCCTGGGCAATGCCCCTGCTGCCCCCCCCCCCCCCTCTCGGCGGGCCTGTGTGGCTTCATTAAAGAAAAGTCGTAACCAATAAACTATGAGATAATGACCTTTAAAAATTGACAATGACTATGGTACTGCAGGAAAATACATCTAAAAGCAGCAAACATTATGAAAACATAATAATCAATGTTTAGAAATCTAAAAACCTTCAACCACCATTACACATTTGTTCTGTGTCCATTTCCGTCAACAAGTGGAAGACTGTAGACTTTGATAGGGATTGACACCTAAGATTACATAAAACGCTATTCATATTTTATTTTGTTTATAGGCCTACTCAATTTTTTCCTCACATTGTTATCTAAAGCAGGACTAGTCGTTGCATATGGAAGTTGACCAGCAAGAATAGTAAAGCGAGAACTAAAGAATACGACGCTGGGGTTAGATTTGACATAAGTCACAACCAGAGTTGCCACCCGTCACAATTCTGTCGAGACAGTTCCAATTTCAGTCTGTTTTATCTGTGTTAATCCTGGGGGGAAGGCTGTCCCAATTTTTACCTAAACAAAGGTGGCAATCCTGGTCAGTACTGGAGTTTTTTGTTTCGAGTTTTATGGAAAGTCCTGGCATCATTATGCTAAGTTTGAGAAAAGTCCAGATTAATCGACCCAGTATTTCTTTTTTAATAACGGCTGAGTCATATATTCATTTGATGTAGTTTATTATTAACACTCACCACTCCCTCAGGGTCTATCAGTAGAAGGTGTTTCTTGACTCCACCCTGTAGGCCTGTCAACACATACTGACCAGCCGAACCCTGTGACTCTCTCACTAGGAAATCTCCATCCTACAACATCAATGGATTAGCTACAAGTTCAATGTTTGTCCGTAACACAAAATGTGTCTAAAAGGTTGGCAGTTCCTTTAAACCATCTATTTGCCCAGCTAGGTATTGGAACTAGGTTTCATAGAGGGGGGGGGGGAGTTTGAGGTAAAAATTGGGTTTTCTTATTTTTGACCCTCAAAACACAAACCATGCAATTTCTTTTTACACCATTTTGTGGAGCTTAATTAATTAACAATGTTGAAGCGTTGCTGTACGCTAATTGCAAAGTCTGCAGTTTTGCTGTGAAGTTAATGTTTACGATGTGTTTATATGCTCAATGCCATAGACTAAAGCAACACAAGTAGACTCCTCATCCCATTGTAATTTTTGAAGCTTGTTTTTTGCGTCTAGTTCATGTACGTCCACACTGATCGCTAGTGTAGACAACATTTTGTTTATATTATTTCAGGGTTATTTTCATGATTTGTGCTTTACTATTTGGTTATATAACTAGGAGACCAGTTATTGTTTATGATGATATCGTTTTATTAGGTTAAACGAGGTTTTAAATGTCTGCAATAACAAGAAACAAATTGTAAACAAAACATAACCTCTATAGCTGGACGTACAGAACTAACAATCAAATTGGCTTCAGCTGTTCCATTAGGATGACTAATCTACTAAGGGAGTATGTTTTATCTATGTCAATGCTATACAATCATTCCACTAACCTTAACTTGCCAAAACTGGTTTAAGTTAAATAGTCAAAACTATACTTGAAAAAAAATAGGTACAATTTTTACACCCCTACTTATTTATTGTACTTGTAAGAAGAAGATCAATCCTAAACAAGTTTTGTGTAAGCATTTCCTCTCAACCGACTTAACTTGTATTACCTGTCTGAGCAATTGTTCTGCCTGTTGTCTGCTGATAGACCCGTGGAACCATGCTTCACTTTGCAGTCTGTTGCGTTCCGTTTGTTCTGCAGACTCTGTCGGCGCTGCTGCTGCGTTGCTCACAAACGGTTCTGAAGCAATCACAAGAGTGTGTTTTGTTATTGACTGAATTCACCAATTTAGAATAAAAATTTACTGTTTATTATGTATATTTTTAAGGTGTTTGGTTATTTGTACGTTTTAAAGCTTAAGAAAGCGGATATTAATCTTTTCTCACTGTATCAGTCTGTCTATTTCTGTGTCTTTGGGTGGCACCAAAGATGCTGATTAATGCTTCTTAAGCTATGGTTCCACAGAATGCACAATTTTTGGCGTGCGGTGAGAAAATTTTCCGTTGCAGAAATTACGCCGCGAAAAATCCGAAGGGGTGGATCCTGAAACTGGGTGAATAACGTTGCTGAAATTCAGTTGTGTTTAACTAACTGCAAGGTCAACACATACTGACCAGCTGAACCCTGTGACTCTCTCACTAGGAAATCTCCATCCTACAACATCAATGGATTAGCTACAAGTACAATGTTTGTCCTTTACATAAAATGTGTCTAAAAGGTTGGCAGTTCCTTTAAACCATCTATTTGCCCATATTGAAATTTATATTGCCCATATTTGTTTTGTGTTTAACTAACTGAACTGCAAGGTCACAATAATTGAGGTAATTACGCAGAGGAAAATTTTGCACTGCATGCCAAAATTTCCACAGTCTGTGGAACCATAGCTTTATTCCAGTGAAACTAGAGCAACAATTGGTTAAACCATATATTTCCTTTATTCACTCATTTCTTAACATCAAATTAGGCTATTTAAACCTGGCGTATTTTAGTTAAAAGATAAACAAAAATTTACATACCAAAACTCAATTTGGCACAAAATTAGACAGTTTCTTCCATACATCAGAGAACAATTCTTTCTACAAACTGTCACTGAAATTTACTAGTTATTTTAACCAAGACCTGTTTCTGAAAAGAGAAAAAGTAAACCTAAAATAATAAGTAGAGCCTATGCAGTTTTTAAACTTTTTATCATGTATAAGATTTAAAATGTTTCTTACACTACAAACAAACACATTTTTGGCTTGCAAAATTGGGATTCATACTGCTCTATTTTGAGTTGAATTCACATACACTCAATAGGATGAGATAAAAAGCATCAATCAAAGATAGACTTACGCATATCAAATACGTCTCTGGGCGATCTATTGTTGATCACGATATCGTTAACGTAGTCGTGAGTGCGAGTGGGAGGACCAATGATATCACAGTTCAGATCTATGAGGTTGGTCGATACGAGCCGCTCTACAAACAACACAACAGATTGAGTGACAAATCATCCAACAATATCCAAGACAACTAAGACGGCCAACAATATCTAATCACCAAGATAAAAGGTCAATAAGGTCGACCTTGCATTTCGGACGAATGCAGTGCAGTAACTAATAGAGAATGGAACTGAATTATTATCTTTCTTGGAATTACGGTTTCATACATATAAAAAAACCATGAAAGGTTCAGTATTTGCGAATCTATTAAAACTGTTGGACTATTACTTTATTTTAAAAAATACATAAAATTAAAATTTGTTTTCCTAGTCTACAGTAGTATTTGAATTAGGCTATAGTAAAAATAAATTAGTCTTAAATACTACTAGCTGTTGGCCCGTTCTACGTACAAGAATAAAGTAGTTGATTATATCTTAAAGTAATCCAGAACAGCTATTTTACACACATAAAGAAATATTGTGGCAGTTTTAATAGGGAAAATCATCTTGTAAACTAATACCACGTAGCCATCTATTTCTTTCATCTGATTACAGGCCTATACGATATGCATTTTAAATCAGATAGTTTTACAATAAAATAAGCAAGAACTCAGAAATCAGAAATCCTTTATTGTCCTTAAGCAAAACAATCTTGCAATAGACATAGTCACATATTATGGTAAAATAGGGTTACGCAGTAACCCAGTCAGACTAGATTAATAAGCTAATATCACAGACAATAACAGGTAAAAATTTAAAAGTTTAAAAGTAAAAAGAAGGCTGTAGGCTGGGTGGAAAATATACTAAACTATTTAATTTTTATTGAACGTCAAGGCCAACCAAAGCAGTGTCTCTATATGATGAGAAAGGCTCATTAAACCTCCTTGAACAGTCCACTAATCTTTAATACGCTTTTTTGTGCATTGGTCCAAATATTCGACATTTAGTAACAAACCTCTAGGTTGAGGGGCCATGGAGGTAGCGTTAGGTAGAGGTGGCACAGGCGGAGGGCCTACATCAGGTGGTACCTTGCCAGGCAGATCGTTGTAGTACTCTCTGTCGTCTGTTCTTACTGTAGACCTACAACAAAAGTTGATTAGTTTTAAGGAGACAAATGACAGGATAAGCAGGCTTACTTTAAAAATTGTAGGCATACCACTTCACTGAAGTTTAACACAAAAGAAAACACACGCTGGTAAAGGAAGTAGTGTTGCCAACACATTATGAGTTTGCAAATGCATATTTTAAAATGTATACTGTCATTGATCATTACTTACAGCAGAGTCTACTTTAGGTATGCAGAGGGTAAGGGAATTTGCTATCTGAGATGGTTTTGGGGCTCCCTGGATTTGGTATAGCCTACCAATGATACGAATGTTCCCATCTCCTTAATTAATTATGATGGGTTACAGGTTAGAGGGAAAGATCTTATTATTTGAATAATAGAAACCTCTGTTTAAGTCTTGTATATTGTGACAGGCAGCATGAATAGACACTGGTATGTCTGAGTCGTTGTTCTTTATGTCTGTCCTATGATTAATTCTCGTTCTGATGGTGGTAAGTCCAATCTATATATTAATAGGCAAGCATGTTTCTTTAAAACCTTTTGTCTCAGCTCGTTTGCATCGCAGGGGAAATCCATGCATACTGTTAGAAAGATATTTGCTTGTAGATGTGCAGAATTCCTTTATAAATTGTCATAGGCTCAAAAATAAGCACAACAAATTAATTTAATTTTTTTTTATTAACACAGACTCTATGGGTTGCCATGCTGGTGACGAAATAACAACAAAACATAAAAAGAAAATCAAAACAAATGGAAAGAATTCTAATCACATGTTTTATTTAGAGCGTGGGGTGAAAATCGTCAGTACCTTACATATTTATTTTTGGTTGAATTTTCGACCACTGGACGACCTCTAGTATATTGAGATCGGCAATGGTTGCACTGATAGACAACATTTTTCGAGGAGCAGGTATTGTTTCCTCTTATTTTGAAAGTTTCTCCTGTTGATGTGCTGGTGAATGTTGTGCTAGGCCTATTTATGTTGCTGTCACATGGAAATGAACCTTCCTACAGGTTTTTCTTGGTCCTTGTCAGGATTTGGTAGTTTAGGGTGAACTTTAATTTTGCTTTAAATTGGGTGGTTGGTAGATGTCGTTGTCTGAGGTTTTTCTAAGAAGCCTTTAGAGTTTAGGGATTGCTCTGAGGATTTTGAAGCCATCTATTAGGATTGTTTTCAAGGATTGGAGGCCGTAGTGATAGGTAGTGGCTAACTATCACTGTATCTATCAGTCTGCTTCCAGTCCTGCCTACAGCAATGTACACACGTGTAATTGATAGGCCTATCTTTAATCGTTTTTGTGTTTTTCGTAAAATGTGAGTAGCTTATTCTAACGACACCTCAAGAAGATCCTTTTGTTATTTGTTAGCCTGATGATGGCGGAGGTTTAAACAACCGACGAAACATAGTAGCAAGTTTTAAACAACACTACAATTCATGTTAAGGATTGATCGACAAGGTACTGGTATGTTTAACCATTATTTTTGTGCTCTCTGACTATGTTTTGACTTACTGTGGTAGGTTGGGCAGGGTGAGGAACTGTTTGAACCTAAGCTCAAAAGCCTGTCCGATAGTAGTGATGACGTCTTGTGCCAGTCCTCCACCGCACTCTAGCACGTAACACGCTCTCCACTCACGAGGGTCTTTGGCTACGTAAGCGACAAAATCCAGCGTATCCTGTAAAAACAGGTTGAGTGGTTATGGTGTTTGTTAAATGCGACCCTAAACAAGAATTGTTGTTGGGCTATCATCAAGAAATGTAGGACAAAAGGTAACAGAATTCGGACTGTTTCCTTACAAATTAAAAAAAAATAACATATAAACATCGATTGCCCCCCCTCCTTTGGATACGCCACTGATCATAACAGACAGATTAACTGTATAGTGCATAGTTATATAAAAAATGTGATTTAGGTTAAAATGTTATTTGCTTAGGATGATAGTGTTTTATTGAAACGCCAACAGTGAAATCAGCTGATTTAGTGATTTAGCGGGTGGGATGGTCATTCCCGCTCTTGAGTGGAAATGAGCTATTTTGCGCACTATTTACAGATGTGACAATGTGATCATTTTCATGCAGTGGAAGGAAACTGTTTCTCATGTTTCAGCCTCTAAAGTAATTTAATGAAACCATTGCAACTTAAATGTTTATTTTATTATTATTTTTTTATTATAGGTATTTACAAGATACAATGTACAAATTCATCTATCATATCTAAAATTGATTAATCATTTTTGTACCAGTAAGAAATGGGGAAACCGTAGGAAATAAATAAATAGAAATTGAAACTGATATAAAATACCAATTCATACATGAAAAGATTTTAAAAACAGTGCTACAAATAATATTTTGCTATATGCCGCTAATTCAGTATTATGTATTTATGCCTACGGTATTTTACATGTTTACATGGTTAGCAGTTTTAACCGATCTAGACCTCAAGAGAGGGTCAGAGAGGGCCTCTCCAGTTTTAAAGTCATATTTTAAAAGGTCGCTCTCAATTTGTTGATTCAGGAGGTGTCCATCCCGGGTGTTTAGAGGTAAAAACAGAGGTACCAAAAGGCTTCTGCTCTTGGCTCTCTACTTTTTTTCCAAATAATGATTAGGCTAGTCACTTTTGTATTAATAGTTATATTTGTATTAATAGTGATTGTGGATGATTTTTACAATGTTAAAGAGAATTTTAAATGTCAAGTCATTCAAATCTAACAAGTGTAGTGCCTAACTCTGTCCAGTAACTTTAGCTAAATATTAGTCAACTTGTCTGAGGAAATATAAATATTATATTGTTTGTTTGTTTTGACTGTAGTAACTGTGAGGACTGTGTTTATCTAATGATTACTGGCAAAGTGAACTTCTACGAGTGTCTTTAACACTATTTACACGAGTTGCGTACACTACTTTACCTACAACAGTGTTTTAATTACTATCACTACTCATAGCTTCTAAGAGAGGTTATGTTTTTGTTTATAACCTCTCATTTCCACTGACAGTGATGCAACAAAACATTGTACCAAACACTAATTGCACCCACTCAACAGTTAAATTGGCCTGAACAGCTGATTAGTTGAAGTTTGAATCATTACAATTTTACTTCTCTCTCAATCCTTGAACCTCATTGGTCTATTAGGTACGTGTGTTGTTAAGTAAAACTATGCTATTATTTGAAACTTTTAAACTCTAAGAACTTAACTGAAACGGCTACTTAAAAAAACGGTCTTAGGTAAAAGTATAGGCCTATAATTGAATTGAATTGTCCACAGTACTAACCACGTCACCCCCGGACGCGAAGGATATCCTGGGCATCTCGTGGGACGCCACCACCTGTCCTCCGTCAAGTGTACGCAGGGACAGACTAGTGCTGGATATGGTGAGGTTGACGTTGGTTCCAGCATGCTCCATGTGCGGCTGTTCTCCTATACTGCGGACGACGCGCTTGTCCACCTGAGCAAACATGGTATTTTAGACAGGGTATATATATTCTTGACTTTGGATTTGGATATAACACCTCCCATGCATAAGTTGTTAACCTGTTTTACAATAAATTGAAGTTAACTTGTAGGCCTACCATCAAGTGCACCAATGATAATTATTGGTTTCAGTTTCTAATTCTATCGCTAATTTTTAATCAAGCCAAACTTAGACAACTTAGGGTAAACGACTATAAAAGTAGATAATGGTAGTGTCTTAGAGTGAAGTATGTCAGCCAGGATTTAGAACAAGTGGTTTCATGATAAACAATTATTGTTAGGTTGGGCCAGGTTAGGATAGGTAACCAACTCAAACTCATCTTGATAAAACCTATACAAAGTACAAAACCAAAATAAAAGAGTGAATAGAAATAGGCTATTAGCAAAATGGTATTTCAGTAATTAAAAATAATTACATAGCGTAACAACACTTATCACCAAACTGACTTTACACAAGTTAGATTAGATGATGCAGAATGTATATTTTAATGGTGAGAAAAGTGAAATCAGCCTATAGAGATGATAGTAAAATTCCCTTCGTAAACCAATGAAACAATACCATTACCACCACAATGAGGTTAATAATAAAGTACTTTGTATAACAAGAAGTATCCATTTATGACTTAAAAACAAAATTTGTCTACTTTATAATCGAAATTGATTACCCAACGTATCCCAAAATTTACCATTAGAACTGAACACGGATTGTGTTAAACAAATTTGACAACATTATAACATTATTAAATTCTTGGCTATGGAATTTGTTCTTGCTAATACGAGAACGTTTAGCAAATTCACTGAAACAAAAACAATAGGTAGATAAATCTTAAAAGTAAAGTGTACTAGTGTACAAATTGTAATAGCCTAAGAATAGATGACCACTGTTGAAATTCCTACCTTTCGCTTCTTATCAACGGTTTTCAGTCCGGCTGCTTCACACACTCTGTTTATACATTCCCTAAAAAAATCGTTGAATTTGTTACAAAACGTTTCATATAACTCTTATACACTGAATAAGATGGGTAATTTCTGCGATTGATCTGTCATGAAACTCCTTGGCTCCAAGGTCACCAGATTTGAGCGTACCGGTATGATTTTTTTTCTTAGGAGCGTTCTCCTGAACCCTGAACCATGCACTTTGCTTGTAGAACTTGCAATAGAAATACAATATAATGTTTACTGAACTGCTTTGATTTTGATTGAGTAATGCATGGTAGATTGATAAAAATAAGTCACCAGAGAAATTGGTTCCAGTGGTGGTCCCAGGGGGAGGGGGATAAGAGGAATATACCCCAAAATATTTTATATTTTATTAGCTAACATAAATACTATTGGCTTGAGCATATTTTGGAGCTCAAATACGTATAAGAATACGTTTTCAGGCTTTAAATTACAAATTTTTTCCAGGGGGGACCCCTGGACCACCCTTTTTTGGGATATTCCAAGACCCCCGGTGGTTCCCCCCCCCCCCCCCGAAATGAAATCCTGGTACCGCCACTGATTGGTCCTAAGGAAAAGAGGTGTTCCTTTTTACAGTCAAATAGGTTTGATCTTAAATTGTTAAGCCAACAAAAAAAAAAAACAATAACGATAAATAACACTGCATTGCAACACTGAATTGAATTACATAATGGAAACTTACTTGGCTACTTGAAACCGTGTGTCGAAATCAAGACTTTTCATTGAAGTCTTAACTTCAAGGCAGCCAATGTACTGAAAAAAAAGATCCGTGTTATTGTTAATTTACTGTCGTACTGTACACACAGAGAAGTAAGGTACAGGGGAAACTTGTTTATGGGACAACCATGCGCTTTCAGCTCAAGTATGCTGTGCCAGAAATATACACGGGACGTGCCACCGTGAGCGTTGTAGATCATGAGGGCGAGGGGGGCGGTGTACGGCTTTGTTATAGACACTAGCGACTAGTGCTATACACAACATTTAAGTGTACCATTGAATGTTTCTTCAGCACCTTACTCCGCTGCGACTAACAGTATTTAAGAACATCCATTATCCTTTTATACCTCATAACTTGGTAATTATGTCGACCTTCAGTCAACGCTCTAAAATTTTTTTAACTGCTCGGATTTAGCGTTGATTACAAACCCCGAAAAGCGGAAAAACACTTTTTGCAAAAAAAGTCATGCTATAGGTACCAAAATTGTGCAGAATTCCATGATGAATTCAACGGTGTATTTTCCATTACGATCCAACAATCAATAACCTCACAAGCCGGCAAAATGTTAGGTTAGGTTAGTTTAGGTTAGGTTTTAGTTAACCAAAATAAGTTAACGCAAACAAATCTAACCTAACCAAACCTTACCTAACCTAACATTTTGTGGTTAGGTTGAACATTTTGTGATGGTCCATTGAATTTATAATGAAATTCTGCACAATTTGAATACTCACAACATGACTTTTGGGCAAAAAAAGGGGTTTTTTGTTTTTCCGCTTTTCCTGGAAAAACGGTGCTTTTCCACAAAAATTACTATCATTTTTGGAATCTGCGCTAATAAAACGAACAGATAAAAAAAAATTATTTTTTAGAGCGTTGACTAGAGGTCGACATAATTACCCATAACTTTTCATATCAACATCTTTCATAAATAAAAACACAAGGATGAAAAAAACTTCAAGAACATCATGTACAAATGAGACGTAAAAGAAGTTATAGGAATATAGATTAAATTTGTAAACATGCTTCAGTGGATAGTTGATTTAGTTAGTGATTTTACGATTTTAATTTTAAATACAGTAAGTTATAAAATAAGTCTCATTAGCACATAATAATAGCAGTGTTTAAGATGCTTTTGGTAATGAATACCATCAGGGAACATTATTTTTAGCTTTTAAAATGTTAAGATTAAATAGAGTACTATAGCTCTAAAACCTCAAGGATTTATCATGCCTCGACTACAGAAATCAATGGCTTCTTCAAGGGAAAAATTAAAATCCTTTGGTCAATTGATTTGTTGACATCAAGTTGTTTTTAAAGTTTTTATGTGCATGTACCTTTACACCTTTTGCATTTTTATGTTTATAGGATAAAGGAATGGTATAGGGAACCCTGGATCACAAGGGTTGTAAGGAAACTCTGGTTTTGTTCCCATCTCAGACCGAGATCAATCTTTTCTTAGACAGAATCAACATAAAAGTTGGTACAATCTCAGTTTATGAAATTTGAACCCACAAATCAAATAATTTATTTAGGCATAGCCATTTAATACAGACAATGTAGCCTACCAAAATCAGCTAAGCCATAGCTAAGTGAATTGAATAGTCATGTAAAATAAACCATGCACAGATCAAACTTACAAAAACACTTACCCGGACAGCATAAGTTACGCCTTTCTTTGTAATTGTATGATCCAGATGTAACCATCCCCTAGCAGGTTTGCTCATAAAATTTCCAATGTTACCCGAAGCTTCAGGCAATGGGCGTGGCATTTTACCTGTAAATGAAATGTAGATTAAAACTAGGCATAAGTTTAAGTTAGTATAACTTATAATTAACAAATACTCCGGCTATTCTCGACAAAATCTAGCCTTTGATCAGTTAAGCAAACTAAGTTAAGTAATCATGTGATTGGTAATAATATTATAGTCCGTTCACAAAATTTAGGTGGATTAGAGGAAGGTTTACGGGGTCCTCTAACACCTTTTTTAGCTTTTCAAATCCATACCTAGCTTATATTAGCTGATTACTTAGCGGTTGTTTCAGAGTTAAAGTGAGGAGGATGGGATGCAATCGCTTTATTTTGTCATAGATAGAATAAATATAGGTAGATCGACAGCAGTGCTGCGGTCAGCATATGTTCCGGTGTCCAACGCTAGGAGTGCCTTGTACTTAAGGTGCACACCGCTGCAGCATCTACTGGTAGCATAAGGCTGCCGTAACTAAACAGCACTCCTAGCGGCACATCGCGGAACCTTCCTTTGACAGTCTATATTTTATTTGTCTATGATTTTGTGAACGGAGTATAAATTAGTTGATTTAGGCCTATTTAAACTTTCAGCCAGGCCTAGCTTAACACTTATTAATCACTTCATAAGAAACTTACTTAATACTAGATTTAGGCTAGGGAATATATTAGTAAAAAGTTATAGGCCTAAGTTAGTTTAATTGAGCTGCACGCTCTGTAGACAGTAGCTAGGCCTACACACAATTCAATAGCCTAGTAGGCCTTGGCCTATAAGTTACTGCAATATACAATTGATATACACGTAAAGTTTTATAATTAGGCGTTGATAAGTAGGTTATATAGGCCTAAGTTATATGACGCCTAAATTCATATTATTTATAAATAGACCTAGGATAGGCTTTTTTGGTAGTTGGAGAGACTTTACCTAGGCTTATTTGGACTTCAAGCTATTAACATCCAGGATTAACTTAAGTTTAGTAACATAAATGAAAGAAGTGGAGTTAGTAGCTTTGATCTACGTTTTTCATCATCCACTGACTTTTAAAAATAAATAAAAATATATTTAGTAATCCAAAACATAACTTGTTAAATAAATACTTGCCCAGAACAATTTGAGGGGTTTCCTAGAGCCTAGGCCTAACACAAAAGCTAACTTATAACTTACTTGATTAGAAATGAAAGCCACAACAAAATTCTATAGAAAATTGCTAACTTATTTTTCTATAATAAATTCAATAATTTTAAGTCAAGGGAAAAGATGGTTGAGCCACATGCCATAAGGTATGAATCATAACAAAACAATGTAATTTTGACAGCAAAATTTGACACTTCACTTATATGTATTCAATAGCACTTCCTCAAAGTCAGTCACCTGCTTAGAGTTGCTTGGGCTTGCTACCACTCTTGCTAGCTAGCCCTATTTTGATATTTTTATGTGCCATGCTGCCACATAAAGTTATACACCTTTTTCTGTGGGTACACATACAATGTTACATTATATGCTTTTTTGTTGATTATAAAAAATCGAATAAATGAGTTTGCTAGCCCTAAAATAGTGTGCTAAAATAGTTTAAAATGTTAATGATAAATGATTTATTTAGCCATTCAGTATATACAATAATACAATAGGCATTGTCGAAAAACAGCCAAAATAAACAATACAGAAAGCTGCAATAAACTAAAGACTACAAAACCAGCAAAAACCATGCAGGTGCACAAGCAAACAAAATAAATAAATATAGTATACCCTACACCTTTCAGATTCCTATTCTAAAGTACAATAAATGGGCCATACTTCATTGCAACAAAAAATTCTTCTATTTTATACAAAGGGTTTGCCAATAGCCACTTCTTCAGAATAATTTTAAATTTGGAATTTGGAAGTGATTTCACTTGATCTGGTAGAGAGTTGAAGAGATTGATACCTGTAACAGGGAAGCATTGTTGGGTTTTACCATAGATAAAACATTTTACTTAGTCTATTATAACTTATGTGGATATTGTTACAGGATCTAGTGTTATACCGGTGTACATCTGAATTTCGAGCAAGTGTGTTTTGTTTACTGATTCTTTAATGGCCATGAGACACTGAAAAATATAAACGTTGCCCAGACAGCACACTTTCTCCTCAGGACATCCCACGGATATTGCGACAGGATATGCAAGATATCCCATAGTGGTCCTATGGTCAACTTGGGATATCACAGGATATCCACAGGAATGCGTAATGTCCCCGCCCGGGGATGTCCTACGGATAAGCTCACACGCATATCCGTGGGACATCCGAGGTCATCCCAGGGTAGTCCTCAGGACATTCTCAGGACATATGGGACTACTATGGGATGTCCCTGGGATAAAGTGTGGTCTGGGCCTGAACATAAAAAACACAAAATAATATAGATTTAGTATGAAAAGCTTAATTATAAGTTTAGTAAATTGAATAAATAGTTAATAAACACAAATTTTGAAGAAAAAAAACGAGAAAAAAGTTTTTGGCCCAGACGGGTTTCGAACCTGGTACCTTCGCCTTGTGAGCCTCTTACCTTACCTCCTGAGCTATCTGCGCTTGTTGACTATAGGTGTTTTCAAGTGGTTAAAGAGTAGCCGACAGCTGCAATGGTCGCAATACTTAAAATATTTTTGATACTACAGTATAGGCTATATATGATTCTGTTAATCTGTTTAGGCCTCAAGTAGTTGAATTGTTTTTCTGGTAGTTGGAGAGGATACTGGTATTTGAATATAGATTATTTAATCACCATTAGATTAGCACTGTAATAATTGATTGTTATATGATTAAAATTAGTTTTTTGTTGTTTTATTAATTTAAATTTAGAATTAAATTCACATTTCACACAACTATGATAGAACTCTAGTTTTCCTGAACTCAGTGGTAGTAATATGTCAGTAAAGTAAAGTCAACCCTTGCTAGCCATAGTATTAACAAGACATATTTTCAATCTGGGAAACCTTAAACTTTTAAAATAAATTATAAAACCTCAACACCTTAATGCGTGGGAATCTTATTTTTAGAAAAAAAAAACAGACCAAAATTATTTGTTAAATAATGAAGACGGCCCAATTATAAATTCGGAATTACTGAAAATAATTACATCAAGAACAACACTGTAACATATCCAAAATTCAAAAGATTAATTTTTCTAATATTATTTTTCATTTTTCCAATATCCTTTAAATCATCTGTTTTAACTTTGTTTAAAATTAATTTATTAAGTAAATATTTACTTTCTGTACTAGTGTAAACACAGCCTGAAGATGGAAACCAAGTTTCTGAAAGCACTAGTGAAAAAAACAAATTATTATATATTGGCCTTTTTGAACATTTAAATTTAGATATACTGTAAATTTCATCAGTGGTAGTATTTTTTTCTTCAGTTTGTTACCGGGACATTACGGGACATTACAGGATATCCAGTGGATTTTTTACATGTCCCAGGATGTCATGGGACATTCTGGGATGTCCTATGGCATTCGTACATATCCCGGGGCTTTACAGGATATCCTGAGGTTAACTTACAAATCCCGGGACATTACGGTATATTGTAGGATATCCTGTGGATTTCGTACTCGTCCCGGGATTTTGCGGGATATCCTGAGGATAGCGCACATATCCCGAGACATTCTCAGGACATATGGGACTACTATGGGATGTCCCTGGGATAAAGTGTGCTGTCTGGGTGATAACAGTCATGATCTGCAACTCACAAAACAAAGGTTTACAATGAGCTTGATACTCAGTCCTACAGATTACCCTGACTGCCTTCTTCTGTAGCAACAGAATCTTCTGAGTCTGGGGGGAGTGGCCCCAGGTGTTAACCCTGAGCTTAAGACAGCTTTATCTATAACGTGCTTTTTGGGTCCAAAAAGGAGGCAAATTTGCACTCAATATCAATTAAATATTTCAGATAAGAAAAAAGTTTAAACGTCTGCATGACTCATGGCCACCTCTAACTCCAGGCCGCGGCCTGTAGTTAAAGGTGGCCGTGTCCTGCTGCACATTTAAGTTATGGTGAAATAACATTGAGCGACCTTTTCTCAGACCGTGCAGAGGCTAACAAAATTTAGCCTTTGCATTTTCAATTCGATATTTTAACCGATACCATCCGATACTGTCATGTTCTATGTTTAATGAGGTATAACAATCGATAAAACCCCGAAATTCTATATTTTCTACCTTAATTACTTATTATCGGCCGTACTGAAAATTTTGCATCTCCGACAAGAGGTCTCTTTTCACTTTACACAGCACATTTCTTGTGTCATGATCATGAATTGATAACTAACTGTTGATTAAAAATGTAATGCTTGCTGCTTGAGGGGCTCCTCTCCTGCATAATTTTTTAGCATGGATTAAATGGGTGGATACCATTGAAATTTGATCGAAACTGTATTATTCCCATCTGATCGACACAGAGGTCAAACCTCCTAGGATTAAACATACTCCCTTGGATTATATTTTGGTAGCCGTTGCCTGAATCAGCCTTTTTGATTATAGTTTTTGTGTTTGTAGGTCTCTGGATATCTTAAGCATAGCGGTCTGTGTGCATGACTTTCAGTATTTTTGTGTAAATCAACTTTATTTATTAACTAAAGGTAAATATCTTGTAAAATATTTATTGTATCTAACATTTTAAAATTATTTATTGAAGTTTATGTATTGTCATCTTTTATTTTAAATGATTAATAGCAGTATTTAGCCAAAACCAATAACTTAGGTTAGGTTTAGAAGTTTCCTTAGTGTAAAGAATTTTATAATTCCAGCCTCTTTCTGTCCAAATATTATACTGTTATTGTTCTATCCATCCAAGTTAGAGGTACTATTATTGTTTTTATTTTACCAAAATAAACATGACCATCTACACAATTGAAAATTAAGGTTTAAGTTTAACTTAAACTTGGGCCTATCTTAAGCAGAGAAGGTATGAACATAGGCCTAATTAGCTTTCAAAATTGAAATTGCACTTAAAATATTAAAATGAACAACTAGGCTAACACCGTTGTGTTGGTCCATGAAAACTGATTCAGAAAATCAGACGTGATTTCACTTGGCCTTTAAAGAATGGTTAAGATGGCTTATGCTACTGTCTTAGGCTTAAGCTTACTTAAGTTAATGCCCTTTAAAAATGTGGTCGGGTGTAAATAAGTAGGCCTTATCAACATCAGTTATGGAATATGGTCCTTAGGTAGGTCTATGGAATAAACTAGGCCTACTTAGTCATATTTGATCAAAATCACCCATGAAAGTAAAACGTCAAGGTACGCCTAATGCCAGGCCTAGGTTTTATAATTTTATTTTATAGGCTATCTAATAAATTTAGGCCTATTCACGACATTTTAATAATTTTTTTGGAAGGGATAGTATTAAGTTACCTTGATAGTCCTTTCACTTTGGTTCTCTTCACCTTAGTTGTAGAGACTTGGGAATTGTCTTATTATTATTTATTTTTTTTTATGTGTCATTGTAGTGACGCCCAGTAATGAACATCTGAATCCAGGATCAATTTGAAGTTGAACCAGAGACCTCAGGCTGGTTCATTTACATTTCCAATGAAATATGCTATCAAGCTCTAGTACCGGTAGTTACTGTGTAAAATTATAATCTTCAATCATGTGTTTTGTTTTCAGATGTTTCTGACACGCTCAGAGTACGACCGTGGAGTCAACACTTTTTCGCCTGAAGGAAGGTTATTTCAGGTAAGGCAGTACCGGTAATGATGAATGGTATATTTTTAAGTTGGCCCCTTGATGGTGGATGTAACTTTTTAAAAGAACCTGTTTGTTTTGAGTCCCCTCTTAATTATCAGACCTTTATTGCATAGGCCAATATTTTATACTAATTTTGCTAAAAGCACATTTTTGACATTCCCTGTAGCAGCAAACCTAGGTACTCCTTAAACCTAATAATATCATTCAAATAAATTTAACTGAAAATCAAATCTGGCAAATGGAAATTTGATTAGTCAGCAGGTTTGCTCCGGCAGGGGTTTTTTTTCTCAGGATCGATCCGGCTACCTTTTGATTGTTAGGCGAGTACCTACTATAATCATTCAGCTATCTAAGTTTATGCTACTGTTATTGTTATGCTGGACTATGGCCCCTTTTCCCTTACGTTACCTTAAACCTTTTAGTTCAATCTCACGAGGCCCTAGACCTATATTCAGGCAGTTCCTTCCATTTCCATTGCAGAAGACACTGTCTTTAACAGATAGGCCTACTTATTTCAATAAAAAACTTAATGAAAAAACTCTGCAAATAATCACATCAAACATGTATTCAAATGCAAGTTTTAAGTAATGTTTTTTGTGCATGAATAATCTGGTAAAACTTCAATCACAGCAGATCCTTCTAAAAGCCAATTTTCTAATCCCTAGGTTGAATATGCTATTGAAGCTATAAAATTGGGGTCAACAGCTCTTGGCATTTGTACTTCAGAAGGAGTTGTTCTAGCCGTGGAGAAGAGAATAACATCGCCACTCTTAGAACTAACTACGATAGAAAAAATTGTTGAAGTCGACAAGCATATTGGTAAGATCGTATCTCTCTTTAGTAATTTTGCGAGAATCCCTTTAGCCTATAGAAATCCATAAGTAGGCCTACAGTAGAACGTCTATAATCCGGATTGATTGCGACCTAACCCCATCCGGTTTATAAAATAGTCTGGATTATTGAAATTACCTTAAAAAAGGGCCAGCACACTCTATTTGAGTAAACAAACTTACTAAAATTGACAAATTGTATACCGGTACAGGTATAAAAGAGAAAAAAGAATCAAAATGTTGGTTCTTTTTTTGGTTCAAGCACTGTTTTGTAATTAATTTAGCAACATGTGTACCTACAGTGTATAGTAAAAACATCAGAGGACTTAACACTACCCCAGGGTTGGATTGCATAGCCTACTCGGCCACATATAATTCTTTGATTCACTCTCTTAAAAAATAGCTTTTCTACTTTTAACTTTTACATGCTCTAGATTTGTAGTATTTGTAGCATCCAACTTCCTTAAAAATGTAGTTGATTGTAAAAGAATCTGGATTTTCAATGTATTACCAAACCGTCTGAAAAAATAGTCAAACCCTGTTTTTATATACCTAGGGTGTTTCCAAATTGCCTAGACACATTTTGTGGACCTGTTCCTTGGACAGTTTATTAAAAGAAGCAAACATAGGAAAGCCAGAAGGGAAACCACCATTAGGAATGTATGGTGGGATAGTGTCTCCAAGGACACCAGAGAAGTGGGGGTAGCAGAGGAAGAGGCAGAAGATAGAGAGAGATGGAGAGCAGTTGTTGGTGCGGCCAAATCCCGCCTTGGGAGCGAGTGAATGTGAGTGTTCCTTGGACTAAGAGAAACATAATATGCTATTAGCATGGGTCTAAAATGTCTAGATTTCTGTCTGTCGGTCTGTTTGCGATTTTAGTTTCGCTCCAATAGCCTATCTAAAGCCATTTCAATTTGGCGGCCATTTCAAATCTTTAATGCCAAATTTCATGAAAACTGTAAATATTAAGAAATCTTTTTTGATCATCAAAAAGAGAGAATTAAAACCCAAATCAAATGTGACGTTGTTTATTTGTCATCCGATTTAAACAAACAAGGTCTCATTTGATTTGGATTTAGCCTACCTTTATATTTGTCTTTTTGATGATAAAAACAATTGAATATTCAATCGGTTTTCATAAAATTTGGCATAAAAGATTTTAATGGCCGCCATATGATATTGGAACAAAATTTTGTAGGCTCTATTTAACTTCTAAACTACACCTTTAGTACCAATTTTTAAATTTCTATCTTGAAAAATGAACAAGTTTTAAAATTTTTTTTGTAATCACAAACAGACCGACAGATAGAAATCTAGGCATTTTAGACCTAGATACTTATGGCATTTTATGTTTGTCTGAGCCCAAGGAACAAATGTCCCGACAATTTCGAAAACCAACAATCTGGGCTCATTGGTATCATTTGCTGACTTAACTATCCAGTTAGTAGCACCTTGATGCTATCTATGTGTCCTGCCCTTATCTAAATGTTTGTGTCCAGCTTGTGCAGTTAGTGGCCTTATCGCTGACTCCAGGACACTTGTGGACAGAGCCAGAGTCGAGTGCCAGAACCACTGGTTCGTCTACGATGAGAGGATGGGTGTGGAGTCGGTGGCACAGGCCGTTTCCAACCTGGCCATACAGTTTGGTGATTCAGACGAAGACGGTGCTGCCATGGTGAGCAATGGTCTCTTTTAACTAATTTTTCTAAGTAGGTAAAGTAACTCTTATTGTATTCTTCATGGTAATATCTAGGTCTCAAATCGGTGATAAGGACAGTAGACCAATACTGTCAAATTTATGTATTGTTAGACGTACTATGTCATCTCTAATATCTACTATGTGCCATATATATATTTTTAAAGTTATGTCCTTTTTTGACTTATCATATAGCCTATGTATTTTTTGTATGTTTATTTTTAACTAAAACAAAAGCGTGGGTTAGTAGTGCGACTGTTTTGTTGCGAAATGCGGTGATAGGCTACACTTGTGAGTCGTTATCAATGGGTTGAAAACATATACAGGGTGGCTGGTCATCAGTGTTACAAAATTTTTTTGGCGTAAGTACAAGGTAAATGCAGTGTAATGATGCATATAAAAGGTCCCAAGTCCAAAAATTAGCTTCCCAAAGAATTATTTTATGTTTTTCAAAAATAACTATGTTTTCAAACTTAATACAGCTGTTTCTCAATTACCGGTAAATGGATTTGAGTAGACAATGTCATTTTCGTGTTCTACATTAAATTTTGAATAAGAATAATATAAAATGACGGAGGATCAGTTGTAAAAACCCCATTGTAAATAGATTCAAAGATAAAAATTAAGATGTTTCATAAAAATTTAAACAACATTGGTCTATTGTATTTGTTCACACCCTGTATACAAGAAAGTGGCCGATTATGTTAAAAACTGCGCCATTTTATAAGCTTTCTAACCATATGCTACACTATTGAGGTTAAGATATTCTGTTGTTTGTTTTAGTGGTTTGAATACCAGAAAACAGGGTGTCTTTAACATTTAAAACATAGAAAGCCGGCATGTATTAAGCAAAAGTTGTATTTTTGTTTGAGCTTGAACAGTAAAAACAGTAAAAAAGTTTCCTGTTTTCTGGTATTCAAACCACTAAAACAAACAACAGAATATCTAAACCTCAATAGTGTAGCATATGGTTAGAAAGCTTATAAAATGGCGCAGTTTTTAACATAATCGGCCACTTTCTTGTATACAGGGTGTGAACAAATACAATAGACCAATGTTTTTTAAAATTTTATGAAACATCTTAATTTTTATCTTTGAATCTATTTACAATGGGGTTTTTACAACTGATCCTCCGTCATTTTATATTATTCTTATTCAAAATTTAATGTAGAACACGAAAATGACATTGTCTACTCAAATCCATTTACCGGTAATTGAGAAATAGCTGTATTAAGTTTGAAAACAAAGTTATTTTTGAAAAACATAAAATAATTCTTTGGGAAGCTAATTTTTGGTCTTGGAACCTTTTATATGCATCATTACACTGCATTTACTTTGTACTTACGCCAAAAAAATTTTGTAACACTGATGACCAGCCACCCTGTATATTAATGAATTCTTGATTTTTTTGGATTGAAAGACTTTCAAACTTATTGCTGTGTTATGTACACTATTATCAAACCTGTCATTTCAGAGTCGGCCGTTTGGTGTGGCTATGCTGTTTGCTGGTATAGACGAGAAAGGACCTCAGCTGTTTCACATGGATCCCTCCGGTACGTTTGTTCAGTTTGACGCCAAAGCCATCGGCTCAGGCAGTGAGGGCGCCCAACAGAGTCTACAAGAGGTCTACCACAAGGTAACACGAAAATGTCATTATCCCCGGAAACATTTGTTTATTTGTTCCTCAAGTCAATGAAAATACCCCACGCAGCAAACTTGCAGACTAAGCGAATTTCCATTTGCCTGATTATATTTTTATTAAAATATCTCCTTATGTCAGATTTACTACCTGATTGATAAACATTAGATTAACGAGTTCTTAGGTTTGCTACTGCAAGGTAATAAAGATAATAGATTGTTTTTTAACAGAAATTTGAAATGTCTAAATGAAAGAAATGAACTTTAAATATTGATCAAAATATGTTCAAAAAACAAGCAAACAACATCAGTTTAGTAGCTTATTTTGCATAAGAGTAATAGGCTATAAGGATTTTAAAGTTACAGTTTTTTGGAATTTTCTCTTTAACCATGAATTGCATGACATCGCTTCAATGAACTTGATCTTAAGGTTTTTTTTTAAAGCTCTATAAAATGGTTTGGATCTGTGAAACTTTATGATTTTAAGGGTAATCTCGTAATCTCTTAAGAGTAAACTCGTTGGAAAACTCAATTTTTATTCCATAAATCCCTGATGGTCCAATAGTTTATGGGAAATCTGTCAATAAGGATGTTTTAATTTGTTCTCATTGCTGTGCGGTGAGGTAGGCCTATCAAATATCAATAATTGAGATGGGGACGTCACCTAGGTGTTAACCCAAATAACCTAGGTATGGTAGACTGGGGGATTCACAATCTTATAAAAATTGAAAGCTGTTTATGAACCAATATTTATAATTCAAGTATTGTTAGATTAGTAGTAAAATGAACACACTATTAAGGGTTCTTACTGAAATAACTGATATTAAGATAGGCATACACAATTTCAAACTATCACCATTATAAATTGGTACAACTAGAAATGTGATCCTTTGTGTGGAAATTTGTGTTATCTATCCTTTTTTTGGTAAATGAAGAATAATTTTCAATTGGGATTTATCTTGTATGTCCCAGTCTTGGTTTTTGCTTGTGGAAATACTTTTTTTAGGCATAGTCTAAATTTAAATTACAAGTTTTGTTTATCATTTTGCAGTCCATGACTCTGAAGGAGGCGATCAACTCGGTGCTGACTATTCTCAAACAAGTGATGGAGGAGAAACTCAACTCAACCAATGTAGAAGTTGTGACCGTTACGCCCGACAAATTGTTCCACATGTTTACGAAGGAGGAAGTTGAACAGGTCAGAATCGTAGTAAACTTGTAAACTACTTGCTGGTTGTTTCTTTAGCCCTACAGTAGAACTAGGGATAGACGGGTCTAGAATTTTTGAGATAAGTATAGAATTTTTGAGAAACTTGCGAGGTTAAAAAACTCTCGTTTGTTTGAGTGGGATTAACTTTGCTCCAAGATTTTTGAAACGAGATTAAAAAAAAAAAAAAACGCTACAGAAAGTCTATTCTAACCTGCAATACAGCGTTGTTGGGTTTCCTTTGCGAAGGCGTTCTTATGTAATTTATTCTTTGGGCATGTAAATATTTGCTTAAAGTATAGTTTTTATTTAGGTTGAAGCACAAACTATGTGGATAAACCAGAATTGCGGATAAATGAATACCAGATAAAAGAGGTTTTAATGCTGTACTACAATTCTTTTATCTCTTAAATAGACTGTTTTAGTTGAGAAAGTTAGTTGTGTTGTAGGGTACCTACTTTTTCTTTTACATTAAAGATGTCTTATTTCCATTTTATTTTTTTCTTATTTAATATTTTCATAACTATTTAAGTACCTGTAACACTTTGTTATTTTGTTCACTCATTTTGTATCGACCTAATTAGTTATTGCACTTAAGCTGTTGCTTTAACAGTACATTATTGTTGTTTATTAACCATTTTAAAACTGTGCAAACAAATAATACTCGATAGTAATGTGATCTATAATCTCGTCTCGACTTATGATGAGAAAATAGAATCTTGTCTCGAACTTAAAATTCAGTCTTGTCCATCCCTAAGTTGAACCCCGTTCCGTACTACTGTACAGTAGAACTCCGTTCTGGACTAGCCTACATTATAAACCAGTTCCGTAATACAGTAGAATCCCTAATATAAGACCAATTCTAATAATTAAGCCAATATCAGAATGTTTTTCTCACAGCTTACAGATGCCTAGTAAAAGCCTAGTAAAGCCCTTAAAAGCCCTAGTCTTTGTGACTTGAGCGTTCTCAAGATTTATCTTTGCTTACATTTTAACATATAACTATAATAGATTTCTGACAATCCACTAGTGGATAAACCACGTTGAAGATTATTCAACGTTGCAAAAGAATCAAAATAAAAAATATATTATATTTGATAGTCTATATGTACTTCATACAACACCATCTAAGATGTTAAGTGTGAGGAGGCCGATCATCTCTCGGACGGACTCTAGAGTTTCCGTTGTTAACTGCACCGTCTTATAAGTCACCGATTAAATTTCAAGCCTTTTACTTCCCTTTAGTAAAATTAGTAACTGCATGACATATAGGGCTAGTCTTTTTCAATTTTATATGTACAGAAATAATTGCTTAAATATCCTCTTAAGTTATTTGATTTTGTTTGCAGGCTCTAGAATCTGTCGCACCTCTCATCAAAGATGAACCTGGCGCTAGTGGTGTTGTGACTTCACAGGCTAAACTTTAAAGTGCTGTTTTAAGATTTGTTTACTATCTTTTCTATTTATAAGGCTTAAAAAATTAAATGAATATTCGTACAGCTACGTGCTTTTAATAACCTTGTAATTTCTCAAGTTTTTATTGACGTTAAGATGGCCTTGCCTTGTGCTCCGAGTTTTGCTTTATTATTCTCAATGAAGACATCATGAAGCAAACTATATACTAGGGTTGCTTTCAGAGAGGTGAAAGCCAGTTGAGCGGAACAAACGTGATTTGATATTTGTAAAGTAACTAAATGTAAAAAAAATCAATAGATGCTGGTTTTATTGATTAAAATTATAATAATTCAGATTTGTTTTTACTACATCTTGTTATTCAGATACCTCTTCCAAAAGTGCATTATGGTAGTTTTGGCCAGGAAAATATTATCAGTTTATTTGGTGCAACACAAATAAACAACTCGATCACCTACCTATAACCTACACTTTACCTCCCTAATCTTACCTTATTTCAAAACATTTATGAAGTCACGAATACTCATAAACCCCGACCTACCTTCCCCACATGCCTAAATTAGATAAGTGTAATAACTTACTGCACCGTCGATGTAATTCAACATAATATAACCTGTGATGTATTATCGGATTAAATATCGATTTCGATTCGGTTCAAAATATCGCTTATTAAATCCTGATTTCTAACATTGGCTGTTTCTAATCAGCTGGCAGCACAAATAGGTTCCCAAGAAAGTAGTCACTGGTCCGTATCCCTCCGCTCCTTGCATTGAGAAAGTAGTTCCGTATATTTTCTCGATTTTCAGTGAATTCCGTGCCTTAAAAAAATGTTTTAACGGCATTTTCTTGTTTATTGAAATCATAGGAATGGTTTAAAAACGTCTAAAAGAAAAGTCTATAAAGTTCAGAAATACCTTATGGTTCTCTTGTTTACATTTTTCTTGTAAACAAAAAACTGTCATATGGCTACTTTAGTCCCATAAGCCTAATGTTAAAATTTGGAAATTTTGAGTTCGTTTTAAATTGCATTAGCATTATCTAATTGAAATTTGTTTGTTTATTAACCATCTCACTATTAGTCTAAATAATCTTGTTAAGTTTAGCTGAAATGTGTTCTGCCGTTATTGAGTGATGTTGCTTTATTTGTTGCATTGAAGTGGATCCCAAAGAGCTACGCTCGCTTCGCTCGCTCCGCTCAATAACAACTAAAAGACAACTGTAACTGTTTGTCAGTTTTTGTCTGTACATTTTTAAGAGATGAACAATTTTCTGTAATGTGTTTTCAAATTAAAATTAATTTTATTAATGTTTTGGTGTTTATTTTATTTTCAGCATCAGTAGGTAGTAAGGGAATACTTGTGATGGTATATTTTGCACCTAGAGCAAAACTTTTTTGTTGCTTATATTTGAAATTTGTATTTTTTTAATTTTTTGTAAACGATAAGGGAAGTCCTTGGTATTGTTACCATATAATATAATTATTTGATAAAAAAAATCCCATATTTAACCAGAATTTATTCAGCTCAGGATCAAACCATCAACCTATGGTTCTATTTTAAAGTGTGAGTACTTTTACCGCTTGGATTTTTGATTAAGACAACACACAAGCTTGATTGTATTTTTTAAGGTTGAAAACGCAAAGATGGAAGGTTCCAAAAGCCATTCTCAAGGCACAAACTTTTACCATAGCCTACTACTTGTGGTTGTAACTAACCACCTGTAATTATTTGTGTTTTATTTTAAAACATATGTTTTGTTGTTATTTACTTTTGTTCTTAACTTTTCTTTCTTCTGATGTTGTAATTTTTATCCCTGCAATAAACCTTCTAAAATGTACATTATATACTGTTCTTTTTAATCACTGTATGACACCAATAACCACACTGGTTACCAACGAGATTCTTGAAGTAACATTGAAGCGAATTCTTCAAGACAAGTCAACATCTTTCATCAAACCTCAACAATGTCAGTCAAAACAAAACCCAGGTTAGTTAGATAAACAAAACCCTACAAAATGTCAGACACTGAAGAAAATGTCACTGATCACAATATATCGAGCAATTAAAATCTTCTTTTGAAGTTAAGACAAGTTGACACACAGTTCTTTGTTTAAAATATCACTCAAGAACAAATTAAACAATCACATTCATGGAAACCTTTACCGATGTTGCCGAATTACTTTCTGACTTATTTTCTTAGAGAAACCACTTAGTCAAACACCTTATGAAGACCTTTGTAATCACATGATCTCTGAATTCAAAGAATCAAGAGAGCAGACAATTCAACAAACTGATTGACTAACTAAATTGGTTCAGTTTCTTAAGGAAATATTTACTCTTGCAGGTACTCTAGTTCAAGATGATTTCCTAAAAATATTATTTTTTAAACGTCTTCCCCTTAAATCAGTTCAATATTAGCATCTAGCTCCAATTCTCTAGACAATCAAGCATAATTCAAACTACAGTTTATAGTGGAATCCGAACCACATTTTTGCCTTGTAATTTACGAATTGGTCTAATTATCAGGATAGTACTGCAGATTGTCGTAGTACCCACTAGTGCAGACACTAATCCACACCAACTTAACCAATAAACAAAACATCCATGTCTCAACAATTTCATAAATAGCGTTAATAGTGTTCACCAAGTAAGAACTATTGCTGTTAATCTGCCTTTAAAAACTAGTTGTATAATGCATAGGCGTAACTAGGATGACCCTAAGTGGGAGGGGGGGGGGGGGCTTACCTCGGGTCTTGGGGTAAAAATTAGACCTGTAAATTTGCGTTTTTAGCTATTTAGAGATATATAAAAGAGATTTCTTAATTGTAGGCATGAAATTAATTGTAGAAAAATCTTGTAAGGGGGTCAAACCTCTAGGCCCCCCCTAGGTTTCGCCACTGGAATTATATGTGGCTGTATGGTTTAGAGTTATGTGCATTTACTATGCAAATTGGCAGAGAGAGAAGTAAAAAAAAAAACTGAAAAATCTTAATTTACAGAATGATACAATTATTTCTACCAATGCTCAAAAGACAAAAAGGTTCAGTAATGTGTATTTGGTAACCTTTTTAACTAATGCTGATGGGGGTATAAAGATGGAAGACTCCAGGAAAATATCATACAATTTTCAATTAGCTTAATATCTGTTCATAATAATATTTTCTGTTTGTATAGTTAGTTAATGATAATTTAACATTGACAGTTGACACACAACTTACTAGACTGAATAGTAATAGCTATAAACACAAGGAATATCAATATTCAAATCAGATAATTTCTAATTCATGCATATTTACCAACAGTAATTTTATTTGGTAGATAGAGTGTAGTGGGTTTTGGTTTATAACTTCCTTTAACTAATAGCTACTGTTCATCAAACTTATTGCTTAATCATTTGAATTCGGAATCTGATTGATTCTGATTTATTTTCCGAAGGATGTTAATAAAGACTAGGTATTCTACTTGTTTGACCTTGAACTGGTGTTGGTGTACATCTCATTGGAGAAAAGATTAAAATTCAACCAATGAATACAATTTTAATTTGTTAATTCCAGAAAGTTTTTCCCCCGTTTACTATTATGTAGCCAAAAATAATTAAGATTCAAACAATTAATGGAGATATATATATTTTACGAAACTCTGTCATGTTATCTATTGCATTTAATTTTATGAGTTTGAGTTAAATTACCTACTAAAAGTGCTGATTGTATAAAAAAATGTTAAGACCACTTTTATTTAGGATTTGAAGTTTCCTATTAAACGACACCTACTTCAGGAATGTCAAATAAAAAGTATACCTGAAATATCACGATTTGTAGCTTGTTGTAAAATGAGTTAAATTATGATTTAAAACAACACACAGGTCTTCTGTAATTCAACACATTACATTAGGTTATTTTAATTCGCGAGATTGTGTTTATGTGCCATTAACCACACCCACAGTAGTAAAAGTACTGACTATATTGGGTAGGACTACTATAGTCAGTGATAATGGATATAAATAAATATTATAATATTAATAACTAGCAGTGGTAGCAGCAATGAATACAAAAACTATATTATATTATATTATAACTATATTATTAAGTATAAAACGCTTATTGCAGTTACTCAAGCCAAGCCATGCTTTGCGTTTGCAATGGGGAAGAACGACACGGTTTGGTAAAATTTGGTTCCTAAATTTACGGTATCCGTCATCCATCCAGTAGGTCATGGTCATACCAAAACCAAACGTGATTGAACTTCAAACAAACAAACATACAAACACGCAAACTTTCACATTTATAATATTAGTATGATCTCAGAGTTTTGTTTTATTACTCTGAGGTATGATAGATAAATAATATTGCACAAACGAGAGCTAGTATTTCGAATTCCGATTCCGCACACAACGTACTGCTTTTGTATAGCTTCCTTTCTCTGCTACCTATCGGATCCTTGTAGAACTAACTCACGTCGGTAATGTAGATTACAAAGTAGGTTTTCCCAGAAAAACGGTACAAAATTGGTGACTAAATAATAAAAGTTTACAGTTTATAACTACAACATGTGTAAAAAGTACTATGATTAAAGATTATTAAAAATTAACATAGTTGTCATCTCATAGATCAGGTAAAAAAAACTTGATACTCGCTAGAAACATGTTGAATCCACAAAGCATATAAAGGGTGGATAATTATGTAATATATATGGGTGGACCGATGCTTCTAAGTGTTACTAGTCGGTAGTATCAATACTATCGGCCTGATGTTACCGGCCTACCGGTAAGTCAGTTTAGTACCCCTCTAAACTACCAACAGTCTCTGTCTCACGGAGAATGTTGGACTTGGTGTAGCCAAGCTCATCAAGTTAGAGATGGGCCCATCTCTCCCTTTCACTTCAGAAGCGGAATTTGTTCACCTTTTGTATCATATTTTTTACATAATATGCCATATCACATTATTCTATCCTATATTCTAATACGAGCTATGTCTGTTTCTGTTTGTCTGTCTGTAATACATATCTCGAAATCCAGCGGATTCGTATTTCACCTTTTGTATCATATTTTTTTAAAATTATTTTATCCTATATTCTAATACGAGCTACCG